AAATTCATTACTGCCAGATCAGCAATTCTATTACTGCCTTATAGTTACACTGATTTGACCAGTCTCTTTCTCACCAGAAGAAACACTAAATATATTTGTGCTGGTTTGGCAATTTTGTTACTGGCCCATCTTGTCTCAACAGCCCCTTTTGCACACCAAGGGTCTGTGATCCCCCACTGTCTTCCATTTTTTCTTACAAAAATTGAGAAAAGAGGAAAAATTACTTGCCAGAAGTCATAATGGAGGAATGTGAGGCCATTGACATTCAACAGAAAGGGTGAGACCTTAAGCACTGTTTAGTGTAACAGCTTATAAACAATCACCTAATAGTCCAGATAAGATTTCCTTCTCTGCAACTGTACTTTTGCATTCACATCAGGGGTTTACTCAAAAACCTTTTGCATGAGTGCATTCTAAAGTTATTTTTAATAGAGAGTCCCACTTAAATAACCATTTTAATAACCCTCCACCAAAAATCCTGATTAAAAATAAATAAATAAACAAACTGATGCACAGTCTGCAAGATTGAGTTAGCTGGGGAAGACAGAAAATGCCACATCTCTGCTTGACTACTAGATAATCTGGGAGTGAAAAGTTCAGGCAACCTGTTCTACTGAAATCTGTTTGTGTGTTGTTGTTTTTTTAGCAATTAATTGTTAAAGAATTTAAGTTGACTTCTGTAAATGGGCTTGATGCACAAAGAACATAAGGAATTCAGAAAAACGGTGTACGTGCTAGCTTCAGAGCTACAAATGACAGTTGGAAATTAAGTCTGTTACTTACACCTTGCTAGCAGGTGGCAGGTCTCCCCTGGGAATGATGGCTAACCCAGCCCACCACCAAGTTCTTAACAGAAACTATTCCCTGTTGGAGGGACCACTGGAATAGCAGAACTCAGGACAGAAGAAAAAATATTTCAGAGCAGAGCTCTCCTTCCATAGTCTTACCATGAATATGCGTATAGACCAGGGGATGAAATGCTGGAGAGCAGCCCACAGAAAGGAATTTGGGGGTTTTGATAGACAGCAAGCTGAACATGAGCCAGTGGTGTGCCTTGGTGGTCGGGAGGGCCAACAGCATCCTGGAGTGCATCAGGCACAGTACTGCCAGCCAGCTGAGGGAAGGGATTGTCCTGCTCTGCTCTGCGCTGCTGCGCCCTCACCTCAAGCACTGTGTGCAGTTTGGGGCACCACAGTATAAGAAAGATATAAAATTGTTAGAGAGTGTCCAAAGGAGGGCAACAAAGATGGTGAAAGGTCTAGAGGGCAAGTTGTATGAGGAGCAGCTGAGGCCCATTGGTTTGCTCAGCCCAGAGCAGAGCAGGCTGAGGGGAGGCCTCATGGCGGCCTGCAGCTCCCTCACGAGGGGAGTGGAGGGGCAGGCGCTGAGCTCTGCTCTCTGGGGACAGCGACAGGACCCGAGGGAATGGCATGGAGCTGGGACAGGGGAGGGTCAGGCTGGGGGTTAGGGAAAGGTTCAGCACCCAGAGGGTGGTTGGGAACTGGGACAGGCTCCCCAGGGCAGTGGTGACAGCACTGAGCCTGCCAGAGTTCAAGGAGCATTTGGACAGAGCTCTCAGACACATGGTCTGATTTTTATTTATTTATTCATTTATTTTGGGGTGGTCCTTTGGGGACCCAGGATTTGGACTTAATGGTCCTTGTGATTCCCTTCCAACTCAGATATTCTATGATTCTAATACATGAACCAAGTCTTATGAGTGATGCAACAGCCATAAAGGTGACCTGGTCATAACAGAAACATACTCTCAGAGAAGGATATCTACTTAACTGGGAGCCTGGGACATCACTGATAAGGGCAGAACAAAGAAACTTCAACAGTAAGCTGACCTTCTAGGAAAGCTGAAGCAAGCAAGAACTGTTCCAGGAACTCAAGTCCACTTTTGTACCTACACTAAAGATAAAAAAGTAACTCACTACCCAACCAAGGCAAGCTTCTCTGCACAAGACCTCACGGTCAGACCAGACTCTAACCACAGATGCCAGATGACTCTGTCCTCCATGATGCAGCTTATCCATGCAGAGAGACTTTCCGTGGTTGATGGGCTTCACTCCTGGAGCAGTTTGGTGAGTGAGAATAACAGTAATACCTCAAATTAATAATGTGTGCCTATAGTAAATATAATTATATACTTATCCTAATAGTAATAACATGTAGCAATTTGTAATAAATAAATTAATGAAACAAAAACATCCATGTCATTGTGTTTTGCAGAATCTTACAAACACAGCATTGTGATCTGGTGGGTCGGGTAACCCTTATAGGTCATGACATCAATTAAGCAGACAGATATAATTCGTTACTTGTGGATAAGTTTATTTTATTGGTCAGTTTTCATCCATTTCTCAATTCTGAGAAATCAGTAGCATATAGCACTGCAGGACAGAACTTAGAAATGTCCCATGGGACATTTCTTAGAAATAGGACATTTCTAAGTTCTGTCCTGCTGTGCTATATGCTACTGATATAACTCGGTCCAATTTAGGAGAAGTATTTATTACCCATATAAATAATCATTAGTACAAATGATAATAGAGTTCTAAATGTCTAATTCACTCTACTGCAAAACATTAAGGTTCACAAACTTGGCTGACACCACAAAAACTAAACTAAACCCTTCTATTTTAGACATGCTGACAAAAGAAAGAAACTTAAATGCTTTTCACACAGGGATAGCAGAATGCAGTAGGAAGCTTAAACTACAGCAATATTAGGGCATTTAAGCCTATGTTAATAAACTGATAGGTTTCCTTGATACCAGTTGCTAAATCACAGACTATGAGACTGAGTAGATGAAGTCTAGTAGGTTTCTCCTGGGCTACATGACAAAGACACCCTTAAGGCTGTGAAAACATCAGCTCAGGTGTGGGAGCTACAGTCAGTGGTACTGGGGGCTTTCTGAGCTCTGCATGTGAAACAAGTTCCAACGCCCTTGAAGAGACACTCACAAGAAGATTTTTCTTGCTGTGCTTCTGCTACGTTTTCCCTTTTGGTGAACAAACAGCCTCTTTGCTATAGCTATAGTTAAGATGCACATTGAGCACTGGTGTCACAGCTTCTGGACATCCTTGGAGCTAATCAACATCTAGGATTGGAGGACATGGACAATAGGGTAATGTAACATCCTGGCCATGGGCAAGGAGTGGATTTTATGTTCTTCACCCGCTTGTGCACTACTGTTACAGTAAAGGTTACTGCTGCCTCAGAGTAGAGTTAGTTTCTCCTTTAAATCTGTGGTGCATTGGCCCTGGCTAGCAGGTCCACACTGCTTACACATCCCTCATTCATCCATCTGCAGGATCGGGGAGGAAAGAGCAAAAAAAGAGAATGGGAATACTCAGTAAAGGCAGCAAGATCACTTACCAATTACTGTCGTGGGTAAAACAGAGTCTCCTTGGGGAATTTTAATTAATTAATTGCTAATTAATATAAATACTCCAGTAGTGATTTGGGTATAAGGAAATACAAAACATATACTTAAAAAAATAATAATGACATTTCCACACTTAGGGAAATAAACTTTTCTTCCCCCACTCCCCAGCTCAGGTCCCCTCTTTCCACTTTTCCTTGCCACAGAAAGACAGTAAGCAATGCAGTGGATTGGGGGTAGGACAGAGCAGTTTCTCTGTGCCACTCCTTCCTTCCCACCCTTTTATCATACTCCATTGTGGGTCCTCAATGGGCTGCAGTCTCTATGGTGCGTACCTGTGTTAGCCAAAGCTAATCAGTTCATTTTGATATCATGATAGAAAAGAGCAGAGCCAAACAACTTATTAGTTAATCAACTAACTATATTAATCCAGTTACCTCAATTATTAGCATCAAATTTCTGTTCATATTAACATGATATACAAAGTCATCATGTGTCTACAACAAACTAAATCAGAATTCCCCTCACCCTTCTGTTGACTCTGGCACCACCAGCATCTCTCAGTTCCCTGGGACAGGAGATACTTCTCCTGTCACCAGGAGGTGATCACCGCCTTGCTAAGAGGGTGCTCAGTAACTACAGCCCAATTTGCTGCTGTGCCTCAAGTGTATTTATACCTCACTTGCCACATCCATAGTTTTCCCAGTTTCAACATACTTCCCTTTTACGGTTCTTCTCCTGGAATATACTGTTGGGTGTATCACTGACCACAGCTGCCCTTTGTTCCACGTCTTAGCATGTACCGGTTGCTTCAAAGAAACATTTCCTCCCCTGCAGTTAACTCAATTCCTCCTCTGTGGTTAGTTGGCATTACACAAGGTCATGATGGTTCAGCACACTAGGGTTTATTTCTGGGTGAAACACACTCAGGCGAGGGCGTCTTAGTTTGGCTACCACCTGCTCTGGCATGGGCTCACCAGGGGACACAGTCCCTCTGGGGAAGCATCCACTCCTGTGCAGGTCCTCTGTGGGCAGCACTTGCTTCAGGAATACTTGATCCACCATGGAGTACATACTCCTCCTCCAACCTCAGTGCCCCCTCTGCTGTTTCTCACTCTCATTTCATCCTCCTTTTTCTCTTTGTGGTGGTGTCTGTCCGTTCTTAAATATGTTTTCCCTGAGGTGCCACCAGCTTGGCTGAAGAGCCCAGCTGAGCTCTGCCATGGGTCTGTTGTGCAGCTGGCCAGAGCCAGCTGTGGCTGGCACAGGGCAGCTCCTGGCCTGCTCCCATAGAGGGCCCACCTGCACCCCTCCCACTGTGAGCAGCTTGCCACCAACACCTAGTACGTCATATCTGTGTTATCAGAAAAATATATTCACATAAACATCTTACTATCCAAGTAAGAAAACACTAGAATGTTCTTATGATGTTTTACTCTCAAGATTTCTCCTCAGACTGTCTCATTGAATTCAACAATCCCTAGAGTCAGACCTGAAGGGATAACTTAGCCAGACTAAACCAAGGACCCCTTGCACAACATACCTATTTGCTAACTTCAGGTTTATTGAACTAGCACTGTTGACTCATCATTCACCAATGATATATTAAAACAGAAGCTTCAAGCAGTAAAAAAGCACATTTTTCAATCCACACTGTGCTTCCTGTAAATTGCATCCACATCAGAACTAACCATAAATGTGCACAACAACCAAGAAAGAGGACTACAGAAAGACAACAGGCACTTGTGCTGAAATCCCAGGAAGACTTCTGACTAACCCCATAGAGGAAGCAGCACTTACAGTTACATCATCCGTACATCAAGCCCCTGTTAACTCTAACATACATGTCGAACACTTCACCTCTCACCAGAACACAGACCAAAGGAGTAAGCAAGTTTGTCAGCAAAACATCTCAGCAAAACTCACCACAGTTTATTAACTCCCTTGGAATAAAACATCCCAGAAGTACAGAAAAGCTTAAAGCCACTTGCACTAGCCCAGTACAGACAGCAGTGGGACTTCTCATCTTACTCTGTTTTTTTCCCTGAGAGCCTTTCTTTACATTATGTATGGAAACCTATCATCTTGATGCTAAATTAACACAAACCAAAAGCGCTGTGGGTCTAGTGCTCACAAATAAATCTAGTATGAGTATCCTCAGGATGCAGTCATTACCAAATATTTCTTTCACCTTGCTCATTATATCAGGATGAAGTTTTTTTCTAAATATGTCTATGAGAGAGACATCAGTGACTTATCCAGAATATATATTGTTATAGCACAGTATAAAGATATTTTTCAACATTAATACCACAGAATCCCTCAAAACTAACCTTTAGTTGGTTTATATATGTAGGTCACCTCCAAACATCATGACTTCGTGCTTTATTCGTGCTCTCTTTACCATACTCTTTCTATAAAGAAAGTATCTTTTTGTCACAACAGCATTTTAAAATTTTAAGGCTAGAACTCATGCATGTTTAAGTCTTGTCTGTAGTTATTTAAGGTCATATCAGAGATTAAAGTAGCTTTGGATGTACTTGCACTTCAGAACAGGTTCAATCATAGCTTGCTGTATGGTATGCAAAGTAGAAATGCAGAGGAGCAACATCAAGTTCCCCTTGTTTTTTTTTTTGTTTTGTTTCTGTTTGTTTGGTTTTTGGCTCTTCTGCCATGCTGCCCATACTGCAGCTGTTGGAGGTGCCCACAGGTGCAGCAGACAGTACCAGAGACAAGCTTTTGGTCCTATGTTATGCAGGTCTGTGGTTTGAACACAATAAGAGGTTTGTTGTTAACATGTGCCATTTATGTGCATATCCAGAATGCTGCTTTTATGGAGCAGATGGTCTTCAGGCTCTTTATGCTGCTCCCTGTAGATAGGCCTTGTAGCTGTAATGTTGCTCCTTGCAGGTATTTTCATCTGAGCAGCTGTCTGAATGGACAGTGGCCAATATCAGTCACAACAATTTATCAAAGCGATTCCAATATTGGCAAAGTGATTAGGGAGGTATTGGGGAGGCATTGGGGAGGCAAGGACAATCCCCACACATGGACTGTATATCTCGAAACAAGACACTGAAACTCATGATAAGGAAGCGGCAGACGGACAGAGAAACAAACGTAAGGACTATAAATCTCAAAACTGGACATTGGAATTCATTATAAAGATACAACAAACGGAAGAATTGGCAACAACCAGCTCTCGCAATTAAGAAACATGCCAATTCAGCAGATTCCTGACCAAAGGTGAAAAGTACACTGTGAGGAAGACTCGGGGTCTTCCTCCCAGAGACCCCTGCCCACGTCCCAAAGACCCCTGCCCACAATTCTTGGAAGGCTCTACGCAGGCGCAAGGTGCCAAAAGGCTAATTAGCATGAGAAGCGAGGGAAGGCGGGGATAGGTAATGCATATGTATAGGTGCTTGTAGAATATTGATAGATTGATTGTATAAATTCAAGACTGCTTTTTGCTTTGGGTATGCACGATAGGTGGAGAGATCCCCCGTGCATCCAGCGCTGCAATAAAGAATATACCACTTAAAGGAATTTCGGCTTCGATCTTTGAATCAAAAGTCACTATGAAGTCAATATGATGGAGACTGGAACTGCATAAAGCAGTTTGAAATAACAGCAGTTCTGCTGAATGTGGCATCACTGAACCCAAACTGCAGCTTAAAGGACATTTGCTTACAGAGCTTGACAAATTGGAAACGCGTAACAACCCCTGATGTATCCTGAAGATAACGGTCAGTGAACTAATTATTTCACGTTGATAAAATCAGGCAACAATCCTTTTGTCAATATCCCTCTGCAAGCCAGTTGTGACAATAAACAGGAGGAAAAAAAAAAATCTATCTAAATAATTGCTTTGCTGTTGTTGTCTCTTTTATGTGCATGTGTTTTGATATTTGCTCTTATTTGAAAAAATTAGGATCTTTTCTGTTTTATTGACAGATTCTTAATATTTGTGTGAAGACTGCATTTGTCTTTTCGTCTTGCACTAAGAGCTGGATACAGCAAGCAACACGAATCTCTTATGCGTTATGTTTGTGGATACGTTTGCAGAAGTTTCCTATCAAAGTGTACTTACAGATCCACAGATTGTTACAACTTCGCAGATAAATCTTTAAAGGACAACACCTGTACCACCAGCTCACAAGCTACTGCTGTGGCCTTACTGGTTTGTATTAGAGAAACTGCCACCCACATACAGAATATGTCTGTTATACCTATCAAGTATTTTTGACCTTTTTTGGTTCTGACAACATCATAGAAGACGAATTTGCAGTGTGGGCCACAATGTATCACCCACCAAGGCCTAAGAAGAGCATTCTTTTTACTTAAAAAATGATTATATGCACAGGTAGTGCATTTATTTTAATTTTCATTCATATCCCTTGTATTTATAGCCATTTCTTTCTAATGTATATTGCTTTTTTGTTCCTTGAAGTCCTCCTGAGAGAACACAATTGATTAAACAAAGTTTTTCAGGTTTGTGCTGGTACTGCCCATTCTAGATGCTTATGGCTTCAAGCATGAAGAAGCAACTCTCTGTGCCAAACTTAATTTTGGTTCAGTTTAAAGGTGAATCCTGCAGTCATTTCTCCTTGCCTAGACTTCTATTTGCTTCTGGCAACACTGCATCTCGCTTCTGCAGTGCCTCAGATCCAGGACAGTCTCTGTATTTCTAAACCAAAAGCGACATGCATCTTTTCTTCAATGCAGTTAAATCGTTAAAGAACCAGACAGGCTGAGAAGTACTACAACCACAGGAATTAACAATGTGCACATCCAACATTTCCATAGAGATACTCCCTCAACTCTGCAATCAGCAACCCCTCTCCTCCCTGTTCAGACCTGTATTTTCTCTGGCCCAGACACTGCACTCTAACTGCATCCCACATTGTTTTCTTGTGGGTTACAAGTCAGCATCCCTTGTAGCTAGCTGGGAACCCTGAGGGCTGAGTTCTTGACTTTACTGCAGTGTTGGAGGGAAGGATTTGTCAGCTTTCTCATCTCAAATAAGCCATCAATTATCTTCTCTGGGTTTTGCTTGATGGTGGTCAACAGAGCCAAAAGTTTCTCAGTGACAGCAAACTGTCAGGATCATTTCTTTATTAAAAGTACCTATGTTTTGGTCTGAAGGCCATCGTTAGTGGTGCATTAGTGAAAGATTGTTTTGTTGCAATGATTTTAGTCATTGTTTCAAGGAGAATGCTGTTTATAACTAGAACTTTTAAGCACTGATCATTACAGAAAGGGAGATAGTGCCTAGGGGATTCAGGAGGGTTTGAAGTACACAAAGGTGCAGGCTCACTTTTACAATCCTAACAACCTTTCAGAATACAGTTGTGCTTACCATGCTCTTGAATTACTAGTGCCATTAATTCAAAATGAACTAACAAGTACTGTAAAATGCTTACATGCATGCAACCACAGAAAGCAACATTACAGAAAACACACCTTTACAAAATCTACCATTACACTATCTGAACATCTCACTTTATGTTGTGTTATATCCGTAAGTCTTTTCCTACTGTTTAAACAAAAACATCAAGGTGAATTTTACCTTTAATATTGAAGACTGTAAGGCCCACAATCAGTTGAGATTCAACAGACTATCCTTCCCAGCTTGCATCACCACAGCCTTAATGATGAGATGTCCTCTTCACAAGTTCTCAGCATTGGGACCGATGTGCTTGCAGAGAGACACAGAGCTTTATTTTCCAGAGAATTGTCATGGCTTTGGATTGAAAACTTAAATCCATCTTTGACAATGTACTGTGTCTGGTTGGCATGGAGTTAGTTTTCTTCATATTACACCGGGTTTTGGATTTATGGCTGAAACAGAGGTAGTAACTCACTGATATTTTAGCTACCTCTAAGAAGCGCTTGTGCAAGCAGCATCAAGGCCTTTTGTTTCCACTCTGCCCTGCAGCAAGTGAGCTGGGAGTGACTAAGAGGCTACACAGGGAACACAGCTGGGACAGCTGACCCAAAGCAATAAAAGGGGTATTTCACACTAGTTAAGGTCCTGCACCGCAATAAAACTGGATTATACTCTTTCTAACATAGCTGTTGCCTGGAGAGTGGCTGGTCATTGGTCTGCTGATAGGATATAGCCTTTACACCACATTTTTTGTTCTTGTTGTTCCCTTTTCTTCATTTATTAAACTATCTGTACCTTGACCCCTGAGTTTTCTTGCTTTTGTTCCTCCTACTTGCTGCACCCTTCACATCGGGGAGTGAATGGCTACAGGGTGCTGAGCTTCTGGCTGGGGTCAGCCCACCAGACTACCAAACTTGAACCGTCTTACTTAGCTTTACGTTATTTTTAGTTTCATTAGAAATAGGTCAGTCATTTCAAAGAAAATGCTAGAAGATTGTGCTGTGTTAACTGGGAAGCATCAGCATCTTCCTATTGACAATGAAGGTCTGGAAGGGTTGAGCCATCATGGCCACCTGCCTTTCGATCTCCCCCAGAGATACCCCTCTCATCTGCACACCCACTCTCAAAACAAACAACCAAAATGAAAAACATGCATGCTCGTGCCCAGGGGGACTTGCTGGGACTCAGGAATAAATGCTACAAGACTCCCACTGCCACGGCCACATTCCAGCCCAAGCCTGCAGGGAGGAAGCAGAATTTCTTACTTACTTTTCTCATTCACATGGAAGATGCTCTAGCAACAAGCACAAGAGCTGAAAGCAGTGAACCATTTTTCTCTTGCAGCTGTGGTACTGATGAACAGACAGCAAACAAAGCTGGTGGTGTGGGGAGGTCTGGTTTAGTACAGAAGTTAAAACATGAAGTAGGCTCTACGTGGCCAAGCTGGCGGCACTAGAGCTGGAGTCTAAGAAAAGTTTCAAGGCCAGCAACACTGCTGGGATGGAAACATGCCGTGGGCCCCAGAGGCAGAGGAAAACAAGTTAGAGCCAAGGTATATAAGAAGATAAAAAGATTTAATAATAATAAGGTTGAAGTAGGTACTGAAAAGTCAGTACAAGAAAGAAGGAGAAAAAGAAAAAAAAAGTAACCATGAAGGCAAGATTTTTAAAAGAAAAGTCTAAGAAAGCAGTCAGATAAGGATAGTAATGGAGAATAGTAAGTGTAGAGACTACAGCCAAGTCTTAAGATTTTTAAAGGACCAGGTTTCTAGAGAAAAGGCTACAGCCCACCAGCCTGCCATGAAGAAAATCACCCTTGATTGGAAAGCAGAGCACAAACCTTGCTAGCATTCAGCTAATGAGGTATTAGCAGGAAAACAGATAATTTATACCACCTGGGAGTAAAAGTACTATTAGGGCCATATTCAGTGGTGAAATTCTTCCAAGTTCTGTAGCCCAGCACTTCGACATGTGCAGCATAAGAAGCATTACATTTTTCTTGATGACTGGTTCTATTCTAGGTTGACAGGGATCATGTATGACTGAGCACGTGACAAGACAGTAGGTGAGATTTATGATGTGTTATGACATGTATGTGAAGAAAATGGCTACTGAATGTGTGGCTTTTGTGTTTGTATTTGGTCAAATTAAATTACCATTGCAGTTAAGCATATTGAATTTGTTACCTCGCTGTTACACAAACTTCCACCCTACTCGCCTTCAATCACAACTTCTGGTTTGATGGGAAGAGCTAAGTACGTGTTTTCTTACAATATGAGACAAAATAGATGCATCTACACCAAGACAAGAGAAGTATGTACACAAAGGAGGTCATCACCAAGACTTCAACCTATTCTCCTCTTCAATGCAATTCATTGCTTCCAAGTTTCACCATTTCTCTGCTGCCAGAAAACTCTGCGAAACTCCCCCATGGAGTGTGGTGTTTCTCCATCTGTAGGTCTAAACAGAGCTCCTGTTTGGAGGAAAATTCCACTTACTCTCAGTCACTTTCTGGGCTGAAAGGCAGCAGCAACTCCAGCAGCTTTGAGTTCTGGCTTTGAAGTTGATGCAGTGGAAGATCAAAGGGACACTGTTTTGTACCAGTGAGTGCTGTCATTTAAGATCCCAACAAGAAATGCACAGGACTACTACACAGGAGATTACAAAATACTTTTATTATGAGGCTAGCAGAAATTAGAGAGCTTAAACTCAGTTTACATCCCTCTGGATGCTGGGAACCCTGAGATGATATGGCATCAGAAGGACCTGTGTGATCTGAGTAAGGCATACTCCCATCCACAGTGAGGTTCACTAGCCTTCTAGCGCTCGGTGCTTAGAGTATTTACAGTTCTCTTACTGCAAAAAAACAGCCTCAGCGTGGCAGACGAGCGATGTTACATGTGGGTGAGTGTTTGATAAGGAGTAATCAAAGCCTACCTGAGTTTCACATGCCAAAAGTAATTATTCTAGTGGGTACTCTCTGCATTGCAGTCATGCATCACAGTCATTTAAGTGCTTCAGCTGCCACGGTTATGTAGCAGTCAAGCACTCTGTACAGCCTATGGCGTCATCCAGGTCAGCCACTGTGTGGATCACTGTCTTCTCAATACAATGGTCTTCCATGCGTGTCCATTACAGTTATCCATGTGTTTTCCAGTTTGAGTTTGTGAAATACTATCAAATTGGACAAGTCAAAGTTCTGTAAAAAGAACGCAGGAATGGAATAAAACATGCACAGTGAAGAAATGTCTATGGAGTTTTAGTTCTGCTCCACCGTATGGGTGCACTGTACTCAAGTTTTAAATTGTATGAGCACATGTAATTATTTTTCCAGGATAGATCAGCCAAAAGATGATTAAAAAGGTATGGCAAGTCCTGTACTGTGAGCATTATGACTTTTGCAGTAAATAAGCAGATTCTTTTACTATACAAATCTGATTTATGATATAATCTTTTTGATCTCTCTGAGCACACTTTTAAAAGCCCAGACCTCCTTTGTCAGCAGGAAGTGTCAGACGTTACTCAGAACTGAGGGAAGAAACCTCCAAGCTCATTGCAAGCTTCCAATATTTATTGACACAGATATTGGCGTGGATGTCTCGCAAGCAGCAACAGTGCTACACACCAGCCGCAAGAAGCCCCAGCTTAGAGTCTGCTTCATGATTCACCCTCACTCTCTAAGGAAGTTTGCATATATGCACATACTGCCTTAAAACTGATGATTACTCCTTCATCCAACTCTACATGCCAGCTGTCTGCCAAGCAGATTATTGTTATCCTCAACAACATCTACCGAACATCTGCAGAAAAGACCTCTGTGTAAGCCACCATGTTAGATACTGACATACCAGGGTAATCAGCTCTTAACTCCCACTGTTTTCCTCTATTGAAATGCTCCAATTTTTACAAGGGAAAGAAAAAGATAGTGAAATGTGACTTATCTCTGACACCAGACGGGAACTTCCCCTGGAGGGCCAGCAACACACCCCACTCATGGCTCATTCCGGCTGTTTTTTCTGTTACTCTGCTTGACTCAGACAGACCTAGTGCTGCACGCTGACACAGAGACTACCCCTAACTACCCACCTTCTCTCACGTTGCTGAAAAACACAACTCATGCTGGCAGCTCAGTGGGCTTCACCATTACCAGAAGTGGATTGCTGCATGTAAGCCACCTCTCAGCCCTTGATTATGTATCTGCTCTTTCACAAAGCTTAAGCAGTGTCTTTTCTGATTAATAGCAATCTCTTTGCCTGTGTCAAGATACTCCACGCACCTTCTGTTCTTAGATCATGGTCTCAGCTATAGAACCCACACTGCAACTTTACGTTAGCAAATCCAAATGAGACTGACGCTTGAGTGTGTTTCCCTCAAGGGTCTTTTCTGACTGGGCAAATTAGAAACTAAACACACTGGATCTATAAACCTGAAAAAAAATAAAATAAAAGGTTCCTATATTGCAGCCAAGACCAATTAAACCTTAGTGCACTTTCTTCCTGCAAACAATTCAAGTAAGCATCTGGACTGAAACAGTTATGAGCACGGACACACACTTCTGGCAGAACAGTGTCAGCTGCCAGCAAGCAGTTTCTGAAAGGCTGTCTCAACGGCTCTTCCTTGCCTATTTTTATACTACAGCCTCATTAAGCCAACATCTATACCTTACATGTTTCTACCTCATCACACCATTGGAAGCCATCTCTTTGTATCTCTGCCTTCATCTGTTTCAAGTGAGTGAGAGGAAGCAAGCTTTTTCAGGAGGTCTTTTCTCAGGACCCTTTTTCATGAAGAGTCTTCAAGCCTTTCCTGAGCTTCAACTGAAAGTTCCCTTTGAGGTTCCTGAGAAGTCCCTTTCTCCACACAAACCTGCAAAGGTTCATTACATCCTGTTTTCCAATACATTAATGAATGTGGTGAGCAATGACAGCCCCAACATCAACTGCTAAGCAATGCCAGTAGTCATCAGCTGCCAGCTGGACTTCGTACCACTGACCACAGACAGTATCCCTCTGAGCCAAACATTCAGCTAATCTTCAGCCACTAATGTAGGCCACTTAACCAAACCGTGTCCCTCCCATTTGGCTACAAGAATACAACCAGAAACCAAGTCAATAAGCCTTGTTAAAGGTAAATGCCACTTTCTACACTCCTCTTGCCCCACAGAATCAGTTCTCATCACAGGAGGCCATCAGGTCAGTCAGGTGTGATCTACCATTTGTAAACCCATGGTGACTGTTTCAAATGACTTTACCCTTACCATGCTTGGGTAGACATGGCTTCAAGGATGGTCGTTCTACAATCTTCCCAAATAAATAGGTCCTGTAGCTTCCTGGATCATCTTCCTGCCTTTGAAAATGGTAACATGCTATTGGCCTTTTTCTGCTTACCAGGGGTCTCCCTTACACCAAGTCGCCATGACCTTTCAAGGATGACAGAACAGCCTTGCGGTTATGTTAGCCACATCTCCCATCACCCTTGGATGCATCCTTTCTGGTTTCATGGACCTGTGCACAAACAATTGGCTGGGGTGGTCTTCAATTCCATCTTCCTCTGATATAGCTAGCTCTTCACTCCTGCAGACTGGAATGTCACTAGGCTCAGGGACACAGTAAGTCTGACAGAAACAGCAGAACAGAAGGTATTTCCCCAGTCTCTTATCACAGGGTCCACTGCCCGCAGAGCAACAGGATCACATTTTCATTATTCTTTTTGCTCCCAGTGTACCTAGGGGAACACCTCTTGAAACCTTTCTGAAATGGTTCCCCACAGATTGGAGACTACTGTGTCTCCACAATGATCTTCACAATCATCCAATTTCTCCATTCAAGTTTGCCAGCCAGCAGTTGGGCACCTAAATGTGCATTATACTTCCACCCTTGATCATAAATGGAATTCCTGCACCCATGAGCAGAGGGTGTGGGTGCTCACATAAGAGTGAGCACAACCTTCAAGGTATTTTGGTGCTCTCAAGGCCATGACAGGATCCACGGTTTGTACAATAACCCCACTGCTGACATTCATATTACAAGTCCTTTCAAATACAGGGAACATAAGACAACGGCCATGTATTACATTAATGACATATCTTCAGTGCTAGTGAGTGCCCTCATGTTGATGTTTGTCAGTTTTCTCCAAGCAACAGCACTTGTTTTTTCACAGTAGCCACATCTAGGTGGATGCCAGCATCTTGCCTGTCCCAGACCAAGGGCTTGTTGCACGATGGTGGCTTCAGTCAGCAGCATAAGGAGCAGGAGAAATGGAAATTGAGTAACAGCATCTGGCACAATTCTCTCATCCCACAGGCACATGCAGCAATTATGCAGCAAGTGTAGCACAGGCTAGAGGCCAACCTCAAGTGCGAAATACTTTAAGTACAAAGGCTTACAGGATAACTACCTAGTCAACACATGAACCAAACACAGAAAGCCAGTCTATTCCAAAAATCCTAACCATAACAAAGCAGTGTAGCAGTGTAAGTCGCAAGTCATCTTGCATACACTATGTCACAAAGGCAGGCTCTTAACACCAAGGCTGGCTCCTTGGTGTTAGGGAGAAGGACGATGTAACTGCCTGCACCAGTGTGCAAAACTGGCATTCTTATGTTCTAGATGCACAAGGCCAGCAAGCAAACTTCTGCACACACTTGCAACATAGTCGTCATGGCCCAATGGACTGAATAATTTCCTATTGAAAAGAATTCATTCAGCCACTTCAGTCAGGTTCATATATCATTATGCAGAACAAAACCCAAAATAAATTCTCAGCAGGAACTATGTGTTGCTGGCACTAGGTGTGCTTAAGGCTAAAATGAATCTTCCTTAATGCAGCCAGTATAACAGGTGCTAAATTCCCAAGAAAGTGTAGAATAAAACCTTTTTAAGAGTTGCCAACATTGTTACAAAAATTCTCCAGCAGCAACTTCCAAACTAACACTTGGGCATCCATCCAGAAAAAACATAAGTTATTAGGACACATGGGCCAGACAGGGGAATTTAAAACCTCACAAATAGTTCCTTCAATTGAAAGAAGAAATCTACAAATGAAGGAAGGGAAAACCATGTAATGTTATGTGCTCCACTGGGTAACAGCATACAAGATCCCTACAAGCATGTCTCTTTATGACAGGAGTAGCACTGAAAGCTCTTTAAGTACTGACACTAATTCACTTCAACACAAAACAGAAAATGAAAAAAATAAATGAAGAGAAAGAAGTTCCCGATGTGTTTTCTGAAATATAAGCACACGCTGTTAGTTCAACAGATTCAAATCCAGTTCCCTCTCTTGTATCTATGAAACCACTCAAAGAAGGAAGATCTGACAGTTACTTCAAAACTGTGTTTAATCTACAAGGTTCTCTCTCGTATTTATTTAACTAACTGCAATAAATATGACTACCTGCTTTTTAAACTAAAAAAAAAAAAAGACTATGCATAGCCTGCAAAAAGTTTATTTCAAGTATAAAAGTCATTCAGCGAAATATCTGCAGTTTTCACTTTTATTATAAAGGCTTGAACAGATAAAAAGAAACAGATAACCACAATTCTGAAAATATATATATATATATATGCTTCAATTCGAAATTCTGAACAACAACAAAAAGACACTTAAACAAAAGGTATCCAACAAAAAATACAACTCACATCACAGTGAACATTTAGTCAAACATTAGCTAATGTTTTATAAACAAAGAAATTAATCACAGTCTGGTTAAATTGAGCATCATGGTCTAGACAGAAGTGAATTCAAACTCCCTGCACTTCAACAACAGTGCTTTTCTTTCAAATGTAAAGAAAGTAGAAAGAGGGAGGAAGGGAGGGAAGAAGGGAAAAGTCTTCAGTCAACTATCAGTTTACAGCACTGTGTTCAGATAAAGAATTCTGAGTTCAATTTCTACAAGTTCTACAAAAATAGATATGAGAAAACTGGGCAGCAGCATAAACACCTCATAGTATCCCCTTATCTTTATGTTTGATTTGGGGGTTTTATATCTGTATTTCAAGTTTTAAAAAAAGGCTTCCACAAAAAAATAGAAAGTCTTGTTAGGAGCACAATAATCGAACTAGCATAAATAGAAAATAAAGGTGTCATGCCTAGGAATCCCTGCAATCCCTTCCCAGTAGGAATATTTTTCCACTGCCAGCAATGGAAAGTATCACAAGCATAACTTTTCCAGAAGAAGAAAGTAAAACAGATTATGATGATTTAAATGAGTTTGAGGTTTGTTGGTGCATCTTTATTTATTTTTTTTTTTTGGTCAAGATAGAGCTAACTCCTGGCTCTTTAAAAGTAATTCAAATATAACAAAACCAAAATGTATTTGACAATGACACCGTCAGCACCAAAGCCTATTTGTGCAATAAATACAGATTAAGCAAATTATCAGTTATTCACAATTATTAGGCAAACAGGGCTGAAGTATTGCCAACAACATAATGTAATCTCTCTATATATATAACAACTATGCAGAAATGTGAAGTAAATAAGAAAAAAAATTGTAGTGTTGGCATTTTTTTCCACCAATAATATTGAGTAAAACCTATGATACAGGAGTGCTATCTAGGCCTTTGCATTACTTTTTTCCAGATACATTTTCTTGTAGGTCTGAAACATCTCTTTTGAGTCTTTGATTGGACTGTGAAGAGCCACGCCATCTCCTTCCAGGATTTGTATGGCTGTATCAAGTGGAATACTGTCCTCAACTGAAAGACAGACAGAGAAGCAGGTTAAAGCAAAGGTCACCAAGCAGCTAGCTTGGGCTTTGCCTACAGTTTAAAACTCTGGCTGAATCTCAACATGGGTGCTCTCTCTGATTCAACTGTACACATTCAAGCAGGAAAATGCCATTGATCTCCAACTACACATTCTCATGACAATAAAAATCTCCACAAATCTTTGAAACTCTTATGTCTACTCAGTAGTATCCATTCTGGCAACATAGACAGTAAAGAATCAGTCAAAATAGATAAAGCCATGTTGAAAAGGAACACTTAAACCAAGCAAAGAGTATTCAACTTTTATTTCAAAATCAATAATCAGAGGGGCAGTTCACCTGTCGAGATCCCTTCCATTTTTTTTTGCTTCACTGGATCGTATTTTAACCAATCTTCTTTTTTACTCTTTACACCTATAAAGAAAATTAAGAATTTTTTTTTAGGTTCCTATATGATAAGCAGTGCTATCTATTCAGCATTAGGTTTTAACATATATGCTGCCACAGGAAAAGGGAAATTTTCTTTGGGTGTGAATTTGACTGCAAGAGGCAGTATGTACAACTTCAGATTTGTTTTTATTTAAAATTAAAGACAGTGTTTGACAAAAATATGCTTCAGAATACACCGCTTAAAACGTGTAAAGACTGGGGATAAGAAGAGGAGGAGGGAGAGGAAGACAAAGTAAAGATGGCAGAAGTTACCACAACTAAGAAAGTGCTGCAGCAGTTAAAAAAAGTGCAAGATATATTTGGCCCAAGACTCCTCCCTTCTTCAAGGCCTCACTCAGATCTCTCCCTCCTCTGTCTACACAGCTGAACTTATACACAACCAGGCTAACACTGAATACAAATCAGATCGCCTTTAGTAACAACACCAGGGGAATCTGCTCTCCACAAACAAGTCAAGCTATCTTCCACAAGAAAGCTAGAAGGCCTTCTTGCAAAGTTATTTGAAACTGCCACACTCTAAACTAACTTCATTCTGTAAACTTTAAGGAAAAGAAACAAAACATGAAATTGAAGAAGTCTCACTTTTTTCAACTTAACATCTGTCAGAAAGCTAGATAAGCAATTTCAACCTTAAATTTCTACTCCCACATTTTCACTGTCTGCAGTTTTGTATAACACAAATGAAAAAGGAATACTTTTCACTTGCAAAAATTTCTTAATTATATGGGAAAACAAAATGTAAGTATAGCCAAAATTCTAGCAATGACTCAGTTTTACACGAGTATTCTACTAAATTCACGACTCTCAACCTACAACTGCCTACATCCATTTGAAAGTGGAAGAAAAGAATTGCACGTGCACCTTACCTGCCACAGTGGTTTTCTCACTTGCCAGAGAATTCTTTGTACTTAAGCTTTCATCATCAGTAGCTGAATTTCTGAACAGGATCTCTGGACACAGTTTAAATTCAAGTACTTGTGGTTTCCGTGATTTATCATCTTCCGAGGGAGAAGGAACTCTTTTTGAATCTGTGCTATTTCGTGACGCTTTGGACTTTAAATGCCAGACAGGCCTGACAGGTGATGTCTCTAACTTTGTCAGGTATATGCGTTCCTGCGCAGTACGTTTAAATGCAACTCTATTAAGATAATGTTTTTTTGGTTCTTTTTGAAGATGCAATTTTAATCTGTTTGTTCTTCTATTTAAATATAGCATATTTTTATCAGAAAATATTTTCTCAGAACACTTGTCTTTGTTTTGACCATCGAGATGTCTCTCTTTGTTAGAAAAGTAGTTTCTGGAGATGGCAGATCGACCCCTTTTCCTCTGTAGTTTAAGCATAGTGTGATCTCCTAATGAGTTCCTGGGTTTCCAGACATTTTCTCCATTCAATTTTTTAGTCTTGTCAGTATTTATCATGCAATTATATGAGCATTGCTTGGAATTCTTTGCTTCAGACTGTTTTAGTCGTTCATCTTCCACCTTTGTTTTCTTACAGTCTCTCTTTCCAATAATGTCCTTCCTCTTCCGTTTGTATGACTCCTCCTGCGGTGGATAAGCTTTTACAGATTTATGTGGAGAATATTTCTGGTTTCTTGACTTCAAGTCTTTACTGCCAAAGCCTGGGAACTTCATGGCTTCAGTGTGATAACTATTCAGCTTTTTTTGTCCTTTTTCTGCTGCTAATTTTGCTTTCTCTTTGGTATTAATTCCTACATTTTGTCCAAGTGTGTCTTTTTGTTTCCCACAGTTTTGTTCTTCACCTGTGTTCTTATCACAGGTGGTTTTTTTTTGGCCTTGATGGGCTTCAGCATGCTTAATTGCAGCAGTGTCTGATTTTGTACATTTGTGAATGTCTGTTCTGGATTTCATGGTCAAACCCGTTTTGGTTTTATCTTTTGAAATGGAATCCACTTTGAAAATTCTCTCTTTTTTTGATGACTTTGTCACGTTGTCTACATCCGCATGACCAGCTTTCTCTGATAACTCTTCTTCTGAGGCTTTCTGATTATCTTTTTTATCAGAATTAGATTCTTTCCCTAATAGTGGAGTGATACTACACATTTCTGGTTCTTCTTTACTGTTACTGCTCTTTGATTTATCAAGATCTTTTTTTTCAGAGGAATTGAGTGGTCTAACTTTTTCTGCTTCTTTTGGAAGCGGTTTCTGTTCATCATCCATCTGGAGCCTGGCTTTTTTGGTCATTACAGCAGTATATTTGCATGCATCTTTTTTATTTTTGTGAACACGATTTGTAACATTTTCAGAAGTTGGAGGATTTCCTGATGCACAGTTGTTCTTCACTGGGGCATCAGATTTACTGTTGTTTTCTTGTCTCTCTGCAGAGTTGATATTTTCAGCTTCTGAACACTGATCATTATCCTTTTTATCTGAACCAGAAGTTCCGCATTCACAAGAGCCTTGTGGCACTCCACCTAGTTCAGACAGCCAATACATTAAACAACAGTAATTGTCTTCCTTTCTGGAATTGGGTGGTGGCTGAGGGTTTTCTTTCTCCTTACATAGGCTTTGATCAGGTTGAACATTGCTTTTGAGCTTCTCCTCCTGGGGTGAAGCCTTTTCAGGTTGAGTCAATGCTCTGCTGCTTTCACTAGAGGAACATGACTTCTCTTCAGGAAATATTTCTTGTACCTGACCAGAGCTTAACAGTGCAATTTGTAGCTGATCTATTGGGTCCTTTGAATTTGACTTTTTGTCAGAGATTTGAGTCTCTTTTTGAGTTTGCTTCTCTGTCCGCTCAAGCACAGAATCATTTCGTACTGGCTCTTTTGTAAGCAAATCAGCCCCTTCAATGCCATATGGAAACTCTTGCAAAAGTTCAGTCAGCTGATTCCTTAGATATTTAATAGGCTCTGCTCCAAAAAGGTTCACTTCTTCTATGCTATTTTTAGTAGAGGTGTCATTTTCTTTATTGACATCTGTTGTAACAGAGAACACATTTGTTTCAGCAGTCACACTCATCAAGAAATCTGGTGAACTTTGAGCTAACTCCTGGTCTAACCTAGGAAGAACATCCAAGTTATTTTCAGGATGCTTGAAAGATGCATTTACCAGCATTTTTTTCGCTGAGGCAGAATTTGTTCTAGGAGGATTGCCACTGCTTTCTTTCTCAGAATGGATGGTTTTAAAACTATCCAAAGTCCTACCTGCTTCACTAACACACCTAGATGACTCTCCCGATGTCTTTTGCAGCAAGGTCTCTTGCTGGAGAGAGTTCTTGCTCAAGTCATTTTTATTCAAGTCCAGCAATTGCTCCTTTTGCCTTGGGTCAGATGCATTTTCTCCTGATGAGGTACCATTATTTAATGTATTAGTCTGATGGACAGAGCCGAATATGCTTGCTATTTGTGGATTATAGGATGCATCACCTTCAACAAGAGAGCATACACTAGAAATATGAAACATCTGTTCTTCTAACAAAGCTGTAGGAATAGTTCCTGTCTCTAACACTGTTTGCTTGTCTTCACAGTCTTTTTTACCTTCTTGAAAGATTTGACCATAAAAATTCAGGTCCAACTCAGAAAGAGATGACTTGTTTTGTGATCTGAGATTTTCACCAGCATCTTCCATGGTTTGACAAAGTTTCCTTTGTTTTTCATCAGACAAATCATTTGTACTCATACTGCTTTTTCCTATTCTGTTTCCATTAGCTGATTTGTTCTGTTGCAAATGTGAGTTTTCTTTCTCTACCAGAACACAGTCAGAGGGTGATGAACAGACAGGTTCTACTGTTCCTTTATCAGCACTTCCCACAGTTAAAACATTTTTCCCCTCTTCTTGCAAGCTACATATGCTTCCTGTGTCAATTACTAGACAGGTTTTATCTGCAGATTTTTGACACTTGTCTGCCTGCTCACTCTGTGTTACCTGTTTAGGAAGCACTAAAGGAGAGACAACTGCAACTTGGAGTTCAAAACCTTTTATCAAATTGCAGCCCAACATGTCATGTTTTTGTCCTACAGAGGCAGTTGTTAAAGGCAAGACCGCTTCACCTGTACTATCCGGAAGACTACCTTGTTCTCTCTTACTCACTGTGTTTTGGCTGTAAGGTAAGGATGAGATCTGATTTTCTGTGGGGCTTTCATTTGACTGGCTATTTTGAATACTTGCAGGTTCTGAACCATGTTTTCTCCACAAGCCCAGGCATGCAGTTAGTTCTTCTGCAGAGTAACTACAATTGCTTTGTTTAAAACATGAATTTTCAGTAAGCTGTGCTTTTTTCTTTTTCTGAGCTACATCACTCTGGACTTTATTTTCATTAGACTGCATCGTTCCTGATACAGGAGTGTGAGTGTGGACCATAACTGTCCGCTCACCTTTCAGACTGGCTACATTCTTTTCTCTAGGGCCCTTCAATAAGCTTCCATCTTTGCCCTTTAAATCCACCCGGGGTTTTTCACGGCAAAGGAGATTAGTCAGTATGTTATCAGCAGTAGCACCAGCTTTCTTCTCTTTCAACATATTTGTGCTGCTCAATACAAACTGAAGAAAGGATGAGTTCTCAGGGTAAGCTGATACATTCTTTGATGCATTTTTGACAGAGCTATTGGTTTGATTAAAACCTGAAGTATTGTTGGAGGATGTGAGAGTTTTTTGAGAGGAAACCAAGGCTGAAGCATCTTTTTGTCCCAGGATGGGAGCACTCTCAGGATTATTTAATTGAGCTGGGAGTTTGTTGTGAGAAGGAACAGGAAATGACTTTGATAAAAGGTTTCCCTGTTCTACCTGATGATTACTCCGAGCCACCTCTAATTCTCTGTTGTCAGCACCAGCATTCTGTTTGTCATTTTTCTCTTCAGGTGAAGAGTTAAGAACAGGTTGTTGCTGAGTGTCTGTCCTCACTGCTCCAGATGGGGAAGGTGCTACGTTTTGATTGGGCACCTGCGGAAGAGGATTAGAGAGCATGCTTTCATCACTGGCAGCAAGTGTGGGACTGCTCTGACCAGGTCGTGAAGCTAATAGTCTTTTAAAATGATGCATCTTTTCAAGCAGGGTGCATTTCTTTCTAATATAGTGCAGTCTTTCAGTTTCCGGAACTAGATCACCCTCTGCTGCTTTCCTTTCATCTTCTTTTGCTGATGAAGTTTGAGAATTAATAGGTGCATTCACTGAACTATTAGTCTGACTTTCCTGAACTGAAGCAGCATCACATAATGGCTTTGTAGCAACCACTGAAGAAAGACTTACTATTTCATTCAAAATACTACATAATTCTTTGGAAGCATCAGTGGATGATGCAGACAATTCATTAAAAGTCTGATTTGCCATCACATCTCCACTTGAGTTACAGGCATTCATAACTGATTGACTGACTTCTCCAGATTGCTGCGTCTGGCAGTATTGCTGAACACTGTTAATACCAGAAGCACTTTTTTGATCTGACAGGCACCTCTGTTGGCTGAGAGTATATCCAGTAGACACATTTTGAACTTCCTGTTGTGCACCTAGCAAAGGTTGTGCTGCAGCTCTTGAATCACAGTTGGCAGGCAGCAAAGCTGGCGCAGAACATCCACTGGGAGCTTCCAATCCCATCTGATTTGGTATATATTGTGGCAGCTGTGCATTTGCTGTAGTATTTTGACTTGGTGACTGTGAAACTTGAAACTGTTTACTGAAGTAATATATTTGGCTTTGCACATGTTGCCCAGACGTACCAAGAGACAAAGAACTGTCCTGAGAATGGACATATTGACGGGATGACTGAGGGACCGGTAGAGAAATGCTTTGAAATGAAGCAGGACCATTCGTGTTATACTGCAGTGTGCACCCTACCTTTGAAGAATTAGTGCATTCGCGGTTACTTTGATATAACATCATAGCTCTCATCGAATTATGCTGTGATGTTTGTGACTGCACGGCATAACTGTTTGTGGAGGCATGCTGAGGTCCCTGAAGCATGTTCCGCAAGTTATTCCCATTGCTCCTTTGAGAAGGCAGGGGATCTAACTGTCTGTAGGAAGAAGTATGTCTACCAGAGCTTTGCCAAGAGTTCTGAGTCATCTCTGTCTGTGCATGTGACATTTGATTGGGAGGTCTTGGTGCAATTGCTAAATATGATGGTAGATGCTTATTGACTGAGTATTCTGAGGCATGAAAATCTTTGCCGGGCACAGATGTTCCTGGTAAAGAAACATTGACAGTTGGTAGATACATCACTTGGTTATTTCCAGCATAACTACATACATTTTCAGAGGAAAATGTATTTCTTTGAGGAAAAGCATGTGCTTTAGGAAGCAACCGTGTGTAACACGCTTGTCTGCTTTGCTGGTTATTCTGTGCATCAGCATTCTTGAGTGGTCTTGCATTCCAGTCCATCTTTTCTTGATTTATTTTTTTTCAGTATAAAACCAAAATTCTAAAAACAAAACCAAAACCAAACCTTAATCTCCTATGAAAGCCTATTTCATTTGCCAAGAAGTAATTTAGAACGCATTACAAACAGAACCATTCGAATTAAATTGCTAAATAGAACAGCAACTCCTTTGGCACATCCAGTGGACATCAAAGAATGTCAAGCCATGTAGATTATTTCCCAGAACACTGTTAAGATACAAAGATACAGAATAGCAAATAACAATTCTATTGTCTATTTAATGAATAACAGGATCCTGAGATTATTTTGCTAATTCCACTATCATTCAACTTTTTAATTTAATAATAGATTGCTCTATTTCCCTTCTCATCCAAATCTCATTAAAAAAAAAATGCATCTGTATAGCATGATATAATAAGCAAATTTTAAGAGCAGAGCACAAGAGGACCCTAAAGAAATAATATAGGTCAGAGTTTTCATACAAGACTGGACTTCAATTATTCATTCAAACATGACAGAATAAAGAAGAAAACGAGTGCGGGTTCAGTAAAGATCTCTTATAATAACAGACTCTGCTTGTTTTCATTTTACATGTCATTTTTCTCTTCCCTCACTCTGTGGCCAGTTACTAATTTTTGAGAAATACAAGTTATGACACTTGTTAACAACACATGTAGCTGCAAGGAAACCACCCCAAATTCTGTTAAGTAACATTAATTTAGCAGGCTTGAAAGCGTGAAGTATGAGGATGACATCATCATCATCACTACTTTTTCAGCTATTACTCTAAGTACACCTGCAGGAGGCGACGGTCACAGATCTGTAACTCTTCATGTGTTATATTCCATAATTTACATTGATTATCAACAAGCCCAGCTGCGTGAGTATGTTACCTGTGAATGACCAACAGAAAGATGTTATAGCCAGTATCTTCAAAGCCAAACACTATTTTAACCTTCAGAAATTTTGGTCTGATTTTTTTTGGGTGGTCCTTTGGGAACCAGGAGTTGGACTCGACGATCTTTGTGGGTCTCTTCCAACTTGAATATTCTATGATTCTGTGGATAAAAATAAAAATAAAAGGTAAGTTCCTCTCAGTACAATCAAACCCACCTAGGACAGAAACAACAGCCTACTTTGTGCTGGGTGTTACCCTAAATTTCTTAACAAAATATTTCACATAGTTTCTCCCAGGTCAACCAAGGCTCCTGACTTTCTAACATGAGTTCTTTCAGATTAAGTTTCTCTTGATTTCAAATTCAGAATTAGACATGTAACTCAGATCTAGCTGATAAAAGCCATAAAGTTAAAGCCATCTAGCTGATTGTCCAGGTGTTATTATTAATGGAAAGACAGCTGTATCTCTTCACTCTCTTACTTCTGTGCTCTCAGAGGACAATAATACAAAATGAAACTGGAAAGCAAAGTTGCATGTGGAATTTGAAAGAAAAAAAAATTACAACAGCACAAATTATCCAAGATTAACAACAGTATTAAGGCAACATTTAAAGTAATAAAAGAAGCTTAGATGGGAACAGAGGCTTTTGCACCCAAGCTAAAGACTTCAGACTGATAATATTTGACTGGAGATTTCCTGATAAATAATCATGGGATAAAAAAATCGTCTCCTTGAAAAATAGCTGCTGAAGCTACTTAATACACTCACATTCCAGAAGTATCATTTAGATGTGTGAACAAGACTGAAGTGACATCCAGTAGTAACTACAAAATCTTCATGAAACAGGAGAAACTTTGACTACATGCAGTACACAACCTAGTCAAGAGTAAAGCCCAATTCCTGGCACTGTCAAGACCATGCAGATGAAGAACACAGCCTTACTTCATAGTTGCTAGCTGAATTAAGACAACGTTAAGTCTGTGTAGAGCAGCTCTCCCCTAACTCTCCCACAAGCATCACTCCCCTTTGTTACCCATATGCCTGGTCTATGATTCATGGAAGAGCTGTCACAGCATCATTCCTCTGTTATCTACAGTGTGGTGGAGCCTGACACTGCATCATCCCCGTTATCTACACACTACAGGCACGAGACTATCAGGGCTCCCCCAACTGTATCCAGTGCTCCTGTGACATGGCTAATTGATGAAGGCATTATTACATGCTAAGAGAGAGAGAATTGCACAACCTGAATCAGAGCCAAAATGGAAAAAGACCTGAACCATGAAAAATTACTGGCTGAAAGTCAATCATCTTGTGGTCCTACAAACAGCAATCTCAAGCAGGAGCCCTTTGAGCTCTTCAGAATCACAGCGGGCTGTGACCCAGGAACTCCCACTGGAAGGGATCCCCCTCAGGGAAGACTTCTGCTGAGAGCCAATGCATAATTGAGAAGAGCAAGTATTGCACTCTAATAAGGTGGAAGTCCTTAGGCACGCAACTAACTTGAGAAACCCGATACCCTGCAGTAAGTCTCGTGTGAACCTTGCCGTTCTGCAATCTTTGTTAACTCTTTGTCCCATCTATAATTAGACTCTGTTAATTGCTATACCATATCTAACAGCTTCAAAGTTTTAGATATCACATAAATCCAACTTCATAATTACCAAAGTGGCAATAAATTTCAATCACTGCTAAATATGAGTTCATCTGAGTAACATTACAACAGCCTCCAACTGTGATCACAACCTGAAGCATCATAATTTTAATACAATAAAACATGCTATGAAAAGTGGTATTTGGCAGAGAGCATTTGTCTTACGAAGAACGGTTGAGAAGATCAATATCAGTACAAGACTTCAAAAGACAAAGAGAAGACTACTCCTCACATATGCCTGCATCATTCACCTGCTACATTCTCTTCTTGACCAAAAGCCTTAAAAACCATCAGCAACTATTTGGGCTACTGCCAGTTCTTCACTGAAGGTGCACAGAAAGGGAATGGAGAGACCCCGTGAATGCAGGAGTAACAGCACAACCCTTCCACAAATCTATTATGCAACTCATGTGGCTATACCTGGATTTCTCCATCAGGTAGTTTAAGGCTTGCCTCTGTATTACACACCATCCCTGGATCACCCTTCTGAAGCATCACATTTCACTTGCAGAGGAATTTGGAAGATCAATGTAGATAACAGTAAGTTTAGCTGGAATGGGTTTTTAGTCTAAGGTTAAATATTCAAGGGGAAAAAGAACAATATTTTCAAACGGTGGAAAACTGTTCCCTTTGGTTTTCTAGTAACCTTAATCTACACAAAACATGGTCTAAATTCATTTCTGACAGAAGGCAGAAAAGTCTCAATTTTCATTGGCAATTTTCATTATTGCTTATTCTTAAGAGGCCATCCTCAAAGAGAAAATATTAGACAAATTAAATGAAACACAATCAAAACATGTCAGTCTTTATCTACTGGATCAAGATATTCCAGCAAAAACTTAATACTTCATTCACTGAACATCATAACTTAACATTAAAGTACCCACTCCTGCATACTGAAGCCAGAAAACACCTAAATCGGAAAAACATAGGGAGAGTATATAACTCATCATTAAGACTTGGGAGAACCTGATGTGTCACTTGTAAGACAAAGTTAACAAAGACAGCAAAAGGCTGCAGAACCACAGTGGGAACTACTGTGCCAAGACAGGACAGTAACTGAATTGCCAACCCAGAGCAAGTATTTACCAGTTCCATAATGAGACAGGGCAGTAACTAAACTGCTAATTTAACATTAATATACTTGGCATTTTGACTAAATACTAAATGCACTAGAGCAGACAAGACACTTGCATAGCAATCATCAGGTAAACTGCTTGCCTGCCCATTGGTTCCTATGATTCACGACGGGACACGGACTCCCAGTTGAAATGGAGTGAGCAAGATTAGAAGCCAACAGATTGCAGAAACCAAAAGTAATAAAAAAAAATTGCTTATCAACTATGGGTAAGGCCAACTTCAGAGGATCACAGCACTGAAGATCCCACCACCTGGTGGCCGGTGATGGGACTCAATGGTAATACAGACAAACTTTCTTGACCAGACTACCTTAATACACAAAGATGGATGCTCCTGAAGCCTCCATGCCATGAATGTGAACTCCTAAGGGCCAATAGAGGGATCCTGCAGACCTTAACAGGTTGGGAGAACTCATTCTGGGGTTGCTCCTACAACCAACTCCTGACAAATGGGCTGGTTAACACCTGGTAAGAGAAGAATGAAAACATAGCATGCATGCTCTTATGAAAATTTGCAACTGGCTCATCACCAACCACGGACAGAAGTCGGGATGTAGAGTATAGAATTACGAGACGAAGTTTATTCATGTGTATGAGGTGACTCAATTGGAATTGAGCACACCAATCAGACTTCACATACAGCTTTTATGCTTTTTCAGATACTTAGTTGTGCATGGTCATCTTGTCTCTATATGACACATGCATTCTCAACAACTTACACAACACTTTTGAAGCACAGCACAGTGTTTTTTAGCAGTCAATTCTTATTGCCACCTTGCTGGCCCAAGTATAGAAGGAGATCTTATCTTTATCATCCAGCCTTACTTGCAGAAAATTGCGAGATGCAGCATGAGCCCACCCGGACATTCTGATGGATGAGTGGGTTTGTTACACTGCTCAGTCCAGCAGGCAGTTTATCAAGACCCTCACTTCACTGCCCCCAGACTTACAAAGTCGGTCTCCCACAGGTTTCTGATGTCATTAAGCAGGATCAGGAAAGTTCAAAGATACTTTTAAAATAAAAGAGGAATCAACCAGAAAAATATAAAAGCAGCATGAAAATTTGTACCAAAAGGAATATACCTTCAAGTAGAAACCGCAGTAGTCAAGAACATGATACTGCCTATGGTCACTTTGCCAACATCACAAACTCTACTTGCACCAAAAAGCATTTTCTCCATAAGATGCCTTGAGCAGCCCAGCTTGCATCCAGCTAGTGTGGCTGAACCCACACCTCAGGCATCTGTATGCAAACTCGCGGGATGCCTTCTCACCAGCATGTGGATCAGCAGGCTGCAGGGCACAACAAAGGCTCATACAGAGCTAGAGCATACCCGTCTCCCACAGAAGCGGTGTGCAAGAAGAGGGCATGTGCTTATAACCCATACTTGGGGGGAGAAGAAGGGAGATGAAGCACTTTGTTGAATGAAAGGGTTTGTTTTTTGTTTTTTTTAAAAAAAAAAAAAACTGTGGATGATTAATGTTTCATGGTTTGTCACATTACTAATTTTCCTTCTGAAGGTGTCACCAATGGATTCCCAGTTAATTACAGTTGTTAATAACTGATTCAATAATAAACAACATGAACAGAATGGTTCTCTACTAGCTTAGTAAACCTGTACATTATTTTATCTGGGCAAATTTGTGTCCTGTAGTTGTACACTACAGTGCTTGGTCTATTAGAAAAATCATTAACGTTTGCATAGTTGTGGTCTCTGTGCTTCTGTAGTACACTGTTACACATTTTTCTTCTGGTAACAGACTGACCTTAAGCACAATTAGAGGAGCAAGTAAACAATATTCATCTGGAGATTAGTGACCTCAACAACTCCAAAGTACCATAGGAAATAACCAGGAACAGGAGATGACAGGAACGATGAAAATTTGGGAATATTTGATCAGACAACCCATACAACACTCAGACCAGCAGACTGGTAATTAACCCAGTCTAGCAAAGAAAATTGTGAAATGGCCCTTGATGACCATTTTAAAGGGAACAGCCATCAGCAGACCTTTCTGCTTTCCAAATGCATTGAAGTTTACTTCGCTCAACCCTACTGATGAGGGGGAAGCCAGCACTGTACGCTGATTTGAATGGCAGTCAGGGAACCTCAATACTTACCAGCATGAGAGCCAGCACATGGCCAGCCTTCCTCCCGTCAGGGGTCAGGATGCATGCACAGGAGCACAACTTCTCCAGCGTAGCTGTCACAGGGCTCCACAAGCAAGCACCCAGACAGGCACTTGCTCACTCCCAAGCAGGACAGGGCAGAAAACTGGAAGAGCAAAAACAAGAGGAGTCATGAGTTGAGATAGAAAGCTCACTAGGTGAAGGAAAGCAGGAGACACAGGTCAGGGGGGACAAGCAGCAAAATGAGATTGCCCACTGTCTCCCTCAGAAGACTAATGGCCAGCTGCTCTCTGAGCAAGCCACCTTGCAAGCCATCCACCCTCCATCCCCCTTTTACCGCCGACCATGATGCTGTACCATGATGTTATACGGCTGGTATGCCCTAGCTATGACCCCTCACAGCCCAGTCACTGGGAAAATAAGGAAAGCATTGATGCTGCCTGAGCACTGTGGCCAAAATACTGGCGAGTTATCAACGCTGTTTTAGCCACAAATCCACAGCAGCAGCATCTGGGCAGATAACTCCATCCAAGCCAAACCCTGTACAAGGCTGCAAGCTCATGTCTGATATGCACATGTGATAAGTTTATAAACATCCCTTGCTGTGTATGTCGTGCCTTACTTAGCCAACAGGTATACAAATTAAGGCTTGACTATTTCCCTGATATATAACCACTTCCATGCTACTCAATCAACTGTCACAGCATACCTTGCTGAAACTGAGAGCACAGAAGGCATTAAAGGTACTGACTGCTGCAAAAGGATCCTCGTGCTTCAGTACCATGGCTGCCCCGGGCAGATGAAGACCTAGGGAGATATCATCCTAGTGAAGCCCAGCAGAACCCAATAATAATAATAAAGTCCTGGTCCTCTCAGAGCCCACTGAAGTCAGTAATACATGCTAGAATTACAGGCCCAGTGTCATGTGGGCCCAACCATTTGTAAAAGGAATTCCTGCTGTACCCATTCCATCACCTTCCCAACTCTCTTAATAGTTAACTGCTCTCATATCCTCGCAGGTAAATATCCCCCTAAACACAAGCAAAAGGGCCCTGACCCAAAGCAGCCTGAAGCATGGGAAGCCTGTTTGGCCCTGGGCATTCCCCAGCAGGCAATCCAGAGTCCCAACATCTGTTTTACTGGCTCTTGTCAAGAACCCTCAACACTACCACATTTTTCCTACCAGCAAGGGCCCTAGTGGCCCTCCTGCCACTTCATCAGGTAGAAACTGGGAGTCCCCCAGCCCTGCATTACTCAGTCTTAGCAGACACAAAATTAACACCACAGGGGGACTGGTAAGAACCTAATGATCCCTCTGAGGTGGCATGGAGGGTGCAGATAATAGGGATTTCTGATCCAAAGGTAGATGTCACCATCAGTGATAACGTCTGTGTTGCTTCACTGATAGATGTGCTCAAAATTCAGTAATCAGTAGATCAGCCTGGAGGGGACTGATTTCCTCACAACCTGCAGTAGTTCATGGGTTCAGAGGAGCCCCTCCAACCCTTCCTGCAGTCAGTTAAGTGCTACTTCCCTAGCGGGCAGATGGCCCAAGGATCTGCAAATTTTTTTAAAATCTGTTGTGGAGTAACCCAAATACAATTGTGATGAGGTCAGAGCAGCAGCAGTTTAATACTATAGGGGAGGACACAGCAGCAGTGACGTGACTGCGATGATATGGAACTCTGACCAACTGGGACAGTTGTAGAGTTTATACAACTTCAAATTAGCCAACTCATTTTTTCCACAGAACTACAGCGTCAGGTAAGCAAGATGTAGTAAATTACAAGAAAGAAAGGTAACATACAGATTGCTTCAGATAAGGAAGCTCTACTTGAGGCCAAACTAACATGATGCTCACGGAAAGGTACTGTCTCCTGGTACTTCTGAACAAGAACCCTTCCCCAAAGTTCACATACTCCAAGAAGCACCTCTCCTACCTTCGATGACCTGTGCTGTTAATAACCTGGAAACCTGCATGCCCAGAAGCCCACCACCTGTCTTCTGACTGAATTTGAAGAACATGGAGCACTCACTGTGGCTGGTACTTTCTACTTTCGCAGTTGACACAATTCCTGCAAGCCACAGTAGGCCTTGATGTGATCATCCTTGAACTGACAGCTCTAATAATGGAGCGACAGGCAGGCACTCAACGCCATGAAGTCTTTGACAGGAATATGATGGATTGCATCAGAGTCCAGGAAACTACAGGATAAGAAATCTGAGCTTGACTACAAGTTCATCACTTTATCTAATATATATATGGCGCCTCATCCCTTTGGTATCTTTGGTATTCAAGGAAAAGCCATCAAAATATCATTCCTCTGTTGCTTGTAGATTGTGGTGAAGCCAGATGCTGCCTCACTCCACTGTTTTTTGTACAATACAGGCACTGGATGATTAGGTGATCAGGCCTCCCTCAACTGCATCTGGGGCCCCCCCGGCATGACTAGTTGACAAGGGCACAATTAAGTGCTACAGGGAAGAGGATTGCACAACCTGAACCACAAGCACAGTGGACCATAAACATAATGAAAAAGAACAGAATCCTGGAAAAATAATCACTAAAAGTTAATTATCTATCGATCTTATAAATAGCAAGAACTCTCTGAGCTCTCCAGGGACCACAAGCGGGCCGCACCCTCAATCTCCCCCTGAGCTGCACCCATTTGCCTTTTTAACAACCCCACCTAGCCAGTGCACAAACACAATGGGTCTTGGCATCTGACCACTGAGTTCTCAGGCATAATGTTTGCCTCCTCTCTGCCTCGTACAGAATGGTCCCAATAGCTGATGAAGTAGTCAACTCCATTTACCTTCCTTCTTATCTATGCATGGCGATTTGGGGTGTTCAGGACATGCTCTTCTTGTGGCCTATCCCCTTAAACAACTGCATTCACTTTAACTTATACTTGGAGTGACATGTAGTATACCTTTACTCACTCACCTTAAGGCTACTGCCATAGTCCTACCATTGCTTGTGGCATCTTCATCATTAGGTGAAACTTTTCCCACCATCACTATATTCCCTCTTCCAAAACAGAACCTTCAGAGCCTCCTAGACACTTTAAACTTTTGGTGCTACATGGCCTTGGGCCTTGTGTTTCAGTCTGCTTGTCTGTCCTTTCTGTTCCTTCCACTTGGGATCGGAAAACGAATCACCAACAGGCCCTAACCCTTCTCTTAAAAGGTATTCAATAATGTCAATATTTGGGACTCCTCACTTCTATTGGTGGTCCGCTACAGTGAAAACAGTGCTTAGAGGGCCTACCCCTAAACCAATCCATTTGCCATCAAGAGGTGACAAGGTGTGCAAACCCTCAGATTAAGAATGTGAGTGTGCTTTTCTTGACACCTTCCTTGTCCTTTCTGATATTGACAGACTCCTTGGCGATCACCCCCTTGCACATACGGTTGTACATCCTATTCTTCACAACGTCCTTTGCGGTGTTTCCTTTCCCTGAGGGATATGCACAATCCATCACCATTCAGCCTCAGGCTGCTGGTATCTCCACCATCAGAGCCCAACTTTTCAGTCCCAAACATTTTATTCTTGCTCCCCTGCCCTTCAAGCTACCTGCAGTACTCTCAGACTCATTTTTCAGAGACCTGTTAGTCTCTGACTCACCTGTTACAGAGGCCCCTGCTTTCCCGTTCCACAGAAGGACATCTGGTTTACTGATGCCCCTGCAATCCTTAATCATGTCTGGTTCAGGCATGCCGCTGCCATCCATACTACAATGATCAAGTCCTTACAGACAATTCCTATGACAGTGCCCAGATGACTGAACCCTTCACTCCTCTGACATCTTCTACGTGTATCCCCTGACTTCCCTGGTAGAAAGCAAGCTCCTTCTGCACCCATACCGGGGAAATTTGGGGCTGCCTTCTTTGTGAAGAAATCCAGGACTATGCCCATTTGCATACTTCAGCTGTTGGCCGTGTTGATCCCCATTCTGCTCACCCCACAGCCAAGGCACACGGCATGCCCAACCAGATGCCACTGCTGTGATCAGAAGGGCAGCCATGGTGGTGAACACTGACACCTTTGATAAAACCAATCACGCCCCAATGCTAGCAGACAAAACTGAGTAAACCAACACAAGCCTCAAGCTGGTGTCTGTCACCATATCCTTGATCTGTAATTTCATCTACTGCCTTAAGGCCATACAGGCCTCTGGCCCAACTTTCATATTCTGGAACCACCTGGCTATTTTAAGGTTTTCTGTATGTAAAAGCTCTTCTCTTTCATCCCATAACCTTTGCAGAAGGAAATCTTACTCTGCTTCAACAGATTATTTTTCTATTCTGCTGCCCGTTCCTAGATTTATCTCAACACAGGATTACTCCATTCTTTCACACAGCATGAAGTAAAGCAGTGTAACTGAGCCATTCACAGTAGTTACATGATATTCTTATTCATTACAAAGAGCTTTCTGCAACTGGGCCAAAACTCTAAATACCAAACATACACATTGTAATGCCAGCCATTCTGATCTCAACTGTTTCTTACTTCTTCGGGACACAGAGTTCAGAGAGCAAAAACTCTAAGAACTGAAAGTCCAGCTCTAGGCTCACGTGCCCTCCTTCCCACATTTCTGCTTCTGGACTTGTAGCAGCCAGTCTCAGATAACAGAAAGCACTTCCAATTAATTCAGTACACTTGACATGTAGTATTATAGAAAGATAATAGCAGCTCCACAGAACTGCACCTTTTGTACAAGGTAGCCTGAATTAACCACATTCCTTTCTCTAGCTCCAAACAACTGACCAAAATAAGAATTATATATACACATTAAGAATGGTCATTTTTCTTGTTTCATAGCTGTATTTCAGATGTTGTAGCAGCCCTAGCACACAGGGGGGTTCTTGCCACAAAAATTCTCAGCAGTTACATAGGAAGTAATTTGTCAGATGTTACCTACATCTCAGATGCAGGCAATCATATGGTGGTGAGAATAACTTTAAGCATATGCAGACCAGTCACTTCTCTCTGCAGATTCTACTCCACCATTTCCAGCAGTGTATTCCTATCTCACCTTCTGCTATTGGCTTTGCTGTCCTAATGCCATCTGCTGCTACAAACGTAGGTTACAAAAACTGTTCTTGAATGGGCCTATTTGAGTTTCACTGCTATGAGCTGAATCAGGTTCTTCCTCCCAGCCTCCCTTTGAATTCTCACTGTACTCTCCTCCACCCAGCAGGACTTCTAATCTGACTTTATTCAGTATTATTCAACTTTACTCCCGAGTCACTTTGTTAGCTTACATCCTCCACACACACACAAAAAAGACTTTTCAGATCAAGCAGTAGTTATTAAAACAAAACCCATAAACTTATCTTTTTCAAATTACCTGTCAGAATATTCTTCTTCAAAGCTTCTCATTATCCTAGCCCACATTCTAGGTGTTTTTTTTAAGGGATGCTGTAAGTGACCACCAGCTCCAGTAGTTCTAAGGGGGCTGGGAGTTCCTGCTGCCCTGATGCTGGAGCTCAGCCTGGAGCCCCCAGTGCTGGCCAACAGACACAGGTGCTGACTTCAGGTGTCAACGAGGTGTCCTCGCTGTACTAACACACTTAGGATAGAGAGTGAGATTATGCAGGGAGAGTTAAGAAAGGACAAGCTGCAGCAATCTCACACAAGGCTCAGTCAGTCAGGCATCCTGACCAACCAGGGTCTGCAATTAACTGGCCCTCTTTATACCCCCCTCTTCCATCTGTCCCCTCCTTTATTCCTCCCCAGCCGGCTCCCCCTGTTTCCCCGCACATTCTGCATCCACTCTCACAGATCCGCCATCCTCTTCCTCCCCCTGCACCCAGGACTCCCAGGCCTGGATGTTCTCACCATGGAAAAGCCCAGGTCTGCCTGCAGTTTCCTGATAGCCCATCAATTAGCAATGCTGGCACAGTTTGTTTCTTGTCATTGCCTCCTTTGTGCTTGCCTGTCAGGTTTGTCTTTTAAGTTTTGTTTATTGTTTTCCCCTTTTCTTTACAGCCCCACTTGACAAGATGCCTGATCAGATAACCTTGCTGAGATAAACATCCTCGCATTCCAGCACTCCTACCAAGTGGAGAGCAAACCTCCTGGCGACACTGCTGTCTCCATCACTGTCTGTCACGTTTGCATCTGTGTGATTTCTTCCCCTTCTTCCTCCTTTCCTTCTGCACTGGAAAAGTCCTTCATGAAGCCCATGAGGTCCTTCACCTCCCCCAAGCCCTTATGCTGACCACGTTCCCCAATTTTACTGTGGAAAAAGGTGTCCTGCAATGGCAAGCCTTCACCACACCAGCAAGGGCGATTCTTGACCTTTGGTCTGCTATTTCTTCTGCTGCTTTCTCACACACTTCCATTCACACGCGAGCCACATCAATTTTGGTATTTAAGTTATAAATGTCAAATTAAGTTTGAACAGGCATGCTTGAAGTAGTCCTGTTGGACTATTCAAAAATTAGCAAATGCTTAGGGAATGCCTCAAGTGTGGTGAAAAGGGAGGGGTGAGCAGGAACAACATGAGAGTGGAAAAGAAGAAAAGGGTCTGACCACATGCAAGCAGGGTCCATCAGGACCAGGGGCTTGCAGGTCTAAGGGCAGCAACAGAAAAGACCGGGGCCAGCAACAAAGGGACCTCTGTGTGCTCATATTTCCCCATAGCAAATTTTTATACATGTATTTATAATTTGGTAGGAAACTTCAAGCTGAACTAGCCCAAGTAGGAAAAAAAAAAACAAAAACAAAAGACGCCACTAACTAGAAACATACCAGTAGCAAAGTAAATGATCAAACACTCATGCAGTTATGCATCACTGTGTACGAGAAACTGGCCAGTAAAATGATTAACTGTTTAAAAAAAAAAAATGCATTGGTCAACTTTCTCCAGCTTGCATTGAATACAGATTTATTACAAAATAGTTGACAACTCTCATAGGTACTTAGGTACTTTATGTTACGTTGGCCTTGGTACATGACACTGCCTGCAACCCTGTCATCACTCTTCTGATTGAACTAAAACGGTATTTCTTGTGGCAGGCAGATAACTGTAGAAATTACAACTATGTAACTCAATTCAAAAAAAAAATATCCAGAGGTTGTAAAAATATCGAAGAACAAGGAAAAAGCACTACTTGGCACCTGGCAATAAACATAATCCGTATTCATACAGCTACAGCATCAGACAGTGCCTCAAGAGTCGTGGGAATTATGCTCACAGACAGAAGGAAAGCAGAAAAGATGTCATTCTTCTCACCAAGAATGAGGTAACACAAATAAATGCTATAACAGAAATGCTGGTTACAGAAAAAGTCTCAGATTGTCACAAGCAGCATCTAGACAAAGCTTGACAGGATTATTCTGAAAGAGAGTTTTCTGCAAACATCACAGACTGCAAGCATTTGGAAGATCTGCGATTCACAGAGAGTTTTAAAATTCTAGTCTTCCACAACACCAAGCAACACAAACATTGTCAAAGAGAAGTCACTGCTGAGAACAGGCCCAAATCCAAGGGGAAAAAACATCTCCTAAACAGTGTTTCTAAAACACTTTTTATGAAGCACCTACACCCCACAGTACATTCGCAGATTTCTAGTCAATATCACAATTCATGGAATCAACCTTGAAATGTGCTTCATACTCTGAAAACCCTCCAACTTCCAAGGCACATTCAAAAAACTTTCTTACATCTTCTGCAGCTGTACGTAACTCCATTTAGAAGTACTGCTCTCAAACCATTTGACATTAATGAATGCTACTTGAAGAAAAGTTTGCAACCTAAGTACAGGATGCTGGCTGAAGTGCACACTAGTAAGTTAATTGCATTTCAGTCAAGCAGAATTATAATAATCACCAAAAGCACATAACAGGAGAGCTGTTTGGCATATCTGAACTTTATGCAGGCTACTATACAGACAGCAAGGCCTTATGAGCCTTCAAGACCATGGGAATATTTTAAAAAAACAGAAGTACAGTCATGATAATGTCTTTCTTCTCAACTGATTTGTGAAGTTTGCTGTAATGAACAGTATAGTCAGCTATTCCACTCACTGTACAGTCTTCTGCTTGCAGTGCCTCGAAGTAATAAATCCTGAAGATTTTTTTTTTTGTTATTGTTTTACTCTTTCACAGTGATTTACAGTTTCATAACTGTTGAGAACTTGTGTTTCTGTATAGGAGTCATAAATAATAACACTATCCTAGTAGTGCCTATCAGTCAAATGACTGAAAAAGCAAAAGCCCATTCCCTGCCAGCAACAGAAAAATACTGCAGTCCTTGAAAAACTGTGGTCATACCAGTAGTAAGTATAGTTCAGAAACTTAAAGTGGCAAGAACAGGTTGAGAAATTTCACCTTCCCCAATACGCTTTTTTTTCCCTCCCTTCCATATCTTCAGTTGCACTGACCCTACTACTTGTGGTGCTTCTGGGGAAGACAAATAGCTATTAATACAAGAAACGTATTTTCAGTTTTTTGTTTGAAAAGCAAGATTACTTCAGCAGTCTTGTTAGAGAGCATCCCTTCAGACAGATGTGTAACACCCACTGGAAGAACAGGACCTCCTTATGGTCTTTGCTCCCAGAAGGGACAATGTCATTAAGCTGCAAGCATTACTTTTATGCAAGCAGCAAAAACCTGTACCAATAATCACTGGGCAGTCTCCTGCTTCTAATAACACATTAGAAAATCTCCTGGGACATTTATAAGTCCAATTTACTAAGAAACAACAGCTTTCTTTTCTTAGGACACAACATCAGCTCATGAATGCAAAGGACAGAACCTCCTAACGCTAACAACCATAATACATTTATTCACTATACTTCCTTGTTTGTTACACACACACACACCCCAGTCCCCTCTTCTTAAGCATCACCAGCAGGCTCTACAATTTCTCACAAACCCTCGGTCAGGTTTAACAAAGCATGAACTGCTCCAGGATTCAAGATACCTGAATAGCACCTCTTTGCTCTTCTGCTCCCTTTATTCCTTCTTCACTGTTTTCTAACTTTCTTCTTGTCCCCTTTTAAAAGAGGGGGCAGAGAGTATTAACCTCCCTCCTGCACTCACTCACTATTAGCTATCAACAAAGAGAAGAAAGGTTCAACACCAAACTTACAGGTCAATCATTGTATTGATTAAGGCCAGGAAAGACCACGACCACCATGACAGAGCCAGCTGAGCAGTTGCTCACAGTTGCAGCAAATGAAACTAAGTGAGCCCAGCACATCAACAATTTATGAAATCACTTCCCCTGTTTGCAATCCGCAGCCAAAAGCTAATGGCCCCAGGTGGGTCCATTTTTTTTTTTTTACGGGCAACAGGGCTGGCAAAGAGCACTGCCTCGAGAGCACACATCCTTATCTGGCCAGGTACACCACCACACCTCTGCTCCATCAGGGTGGTTGCTGACACAATGGACCATTTTTGGTTGTTTTTTTCTCCTGGAAAAGGCAAATATAAAAGCTGGGCTTCATAATTTTACATGAAGTTTGGAAACTGATCTAAAAACACTTCAGTACCAGAATGTGTTTGCCTGCAGAAATGATCTAAGGCAAATAACTTGCTGGGTTTTTAAAAGGCACTGTTTGAAGACAGCTTCCAACAGATAAGGGCATTTTACAGATCTACAATTATTGCAGTTAGAGTGGTAGGAGGCAGGGGGGAGGGGTGAAAAGGCATCTGTGCTTTCAGTAGAAAACAACTGAAGTAAGTTTCTCCTAAAATCCTGGCAGACCAACGAACTAGGGGAAGCTTTAGCTACGATCAGGCAGGAAAGCAAAACACCCCGTAATATATTTTATTTAAATCGGGAAGGGAAGGGCCCATAGGCTTTCCATTCAGCTTGCACACGCCAGTTACAAGAGTTGGCTTCCACCCCATGAAGCACCAGCCAGCTGCACGAACACAATGAATTAACAGCTCCTGATACACGGCTTTAGAAACAACTTTGCACGTTTTTAAGGCTTTGCTTTGTTACTTGGAGGAACGCCCGACCCGGCGCAACTATCGAGACTAAAGGGCTCGATTTGGCGGATAGCAACATAAAGGCGACCATTAACACAAGCTTGCTTAGCCAGGAATGCCCATCTGAATGCTTTCAGCCTACCCGCTGGGTCTATTTTAGGGAAATGAGGAGACAAGACCGCATTTAAGCAGCTTCTGCCACCAGCGAGCGACAACTTTCGTCCTTCCCCCGGCTCTTTTCGCTTTGCAGCCCTCCCGGGCGGCCAGAGGGGAGCGGGAAAAGGCCCGGCACTGCCAGAGCTCCTGGAAAAACAACCTCGGAGAAAAACAGCCCCCGGAGGGCTTCCCAAGCACCCCTAACCCTTCCCCGCGCTCCCCGTGAAGCCGACCCCCGGCGCGCCGCAGCCTCCCCGCGCAGCCCGGCCCCCGCCGAGCCCAGCGCGGCCCCGCGCAGGAAGCCGCGGCCGCGGCCCCGCCGCCACGGCCTCGCCTCCCCGCTGCCGCCCTCCCGCCGCCGCCGCCGCCGCCTCCCGGCCTCACCGAGCCCAACGCGGTCGCCCCGCCGCCGGTGGCTCCGCGCCGAGGCAGAGGCGGAGCCGTGGGGCAGGCGGGTGGAGGCCGTTGCTGCTGCCACCGCCGCTGCTGCCCGCCCGCAGGGCAGCGGCACGGCGCCGGGGACCGCCTCAGGGCGGGACCGGGACCCAGACCGGCCCCGCTCTAGGAGGAGGAGGAAGAGGAGGAGGAGGAGGAGGGGGGTGCTGCGTAGCTGGGAATTGCTCGTTTCGGCCTCTGGGCTCGTCCAGCCCGAGCTCACAACCGGCCGGAGTGCAGGGGGAGCCTGGCCTGGAGGAGTGGGGAGCGGTAGCTTAAAGGCTCTGCACAAACGCAGCGCGTAGATTTAAATAAATGTGTAAACAAGGGAGAAGAAAAGGCATGCAAGCGGTACTTGCAGGTAACCTACGCACCACAGCACCGCCAGAAGTCCGTGATGTGTTTGGAAGGGCTACGTTTAAGTTTTAAAACGGGTGACAAGCTGGTGCTGAATGAACCTTACCTTAAATTTTGCACAGCATACAGAGAAACTAAGAGATAGAGAAGGTATAAGATAGAGAAACTATGTCAGAAACTTACATAACCACGTAGTTGAGAGGGTGATTTTTTTTTTTTATTTAGCTTTGCAGATAAGCTGACTCAGCTCTTACACGGTGTGACCCACACAAGTGTTGGGATGTGTGTCCAAGCGGTCTAGTGGGACAGCTGGGTAAAGGGATTGGCAAACGAGAGATAATTGTGCCAACTACTGAATCCTCTCTCTGCGTCTCAAGGTTCTCTTTGCCAGTGAGAAAATAGTCCTTTCATGCACAGCCCTTATGAGTCAACAGTTACCGTGATCTTTTGCCCCCACGTGAGCATTAGGCAACACTGCTGAGTCAAAGCTGTCTCTTTGTTTTCTCTGTCTAGTTATCTTCTGGCTCTGAGTCAGTTTATTTATCCTTCCTCATCTTACGGCTTCATTCTTGTTTAAGGAATGTTCCAGCAATTCATGTCAATAGAGGGCTTGAAGGTGTGTAACTATGTTATTATTTTTACCTTGTATGATACCTTGCTTTACATTATTGATACACCGAATAATAAATAGTACCCAATTTGTGATGACTTCGGAGGAGAAGAAAGGTGATGTGTCAATAATGACGCTTAAGAAATGGACCCCCCAAGAACCGACTGATGAAATCCAGTTGTTACTGGCAAAAGATGAATAGACACAAATTGAAAATATTAAAAAGAAGATGAGGGATTGTAAGGAATGTTCCAGCAATTCGTATCAATAGAGGGCTTGAAGGGTAAACCTTGGGTTTCTGATGTCCGGGGGGGCTCAGAATAACTGCTAGCTGTTGTGACTATTGCATGGGACACTATGCAAGTCTCTGATATCTGGCCAAGAGATTAAGGAGAAAGGGGAAGCTGAAGGATGACTAAAAGACAAAGCTTGTATGGGACACTGCACAATTCTCTGATATCTGGACAAGATGGACAAAGGAGAAGGACAAGGACAAAGCCTGGGAGGAAGACTATGAGCCTTCAGCACGAACGACCCCCAGAGGGATCACCGGAGACTGATACACGCCAGGAGTAACAGACCCACGGTAGGGGAAATGAGACCATTTCACCAAGACAGGACAGTAGTCAAACTCCCAGCACAATACAAATGCGTTTAGCATTTCTTGCTTTGAGACAAAGACCAAACTGCTGATTTAGCACATTTAGAGGACATTGTTTTAACATCTGCAAGGCAACAGGGTAAGAAATGTAGCACTACTGTGCTTGAGAAAGCTACATGATGAGGGTGCAGTTACCAATTACCTTGGATTGTCTGTGGGCTGGCTTTAAATATAGTGATTCACCAGGGACTATTAGCAATTAATCTAAAGGATTTAAGAAAGTACAAGGAACCACAGATGACAGAAACTAAAAAGCATAAAAAGGCTATTCAGAGACTGAGGTAGGACCACCAACAGAGAATCAGCATTGAAGACCCCACCATCTGCGAATCAGTTGCTACAGGCGCAAAATGCTTCTCCAGGCCACCTCAGTACCTCATCCAGGTTTCTTAAGACTAACAGATGCGATGCAAATGAGGAATTCAGACTTGTTTCTTGAAAACAAGCTCAAAATCATGTTATGTTTCTAGTTAATCTTGCACAGGTATGTACACACTCAAATACACGACACAACTTCCCATTGAAGCAGAGAGTTTAGGAATCTGTTGCAGCCATCTGCTGGCTTTGGTTTGTTAATAGTAGCTACTCTTCACATAGTGGTTTTCTTGTTGTCCAAGGCTTTATGCTTTCCTTGCCACTCAGCAAGCATCTTTTGGGGATCTTTGACCTTTGCCTTCCCCATATTCCAAGCTACCAGAACATGCCTCCCTATCTGATTCTGTTTGATCCCTTCTTCCACTGTCAGGCATATCTTCTTTCCTTGGTCAAAAGTTGAGTACTAGGCAAACAGGAACTGACTATAAGGAGCTGAGGCCAGCAGTGAGAAACAAACAAGACCTGGGTGTAACAAGCCCTGGTGCATGCCATGGTTGAACTAGGGAGAGAAGAGCACCTAGGAAAGGTATGGGAGTCAAGGACCAATAAAATCATTCTGTTTAAAAAGCATGCAATGGAAATTAAATGTGGCCATCATGAATTAAAGTGTTGGAAGGTAGTGTCTGATGCAAGGCTGCTCTACTTCAATGCTGGTAAAATCTAGCAATTGTATCAATAACACTGTATAGGGCCAAAATTTTCTAAATAATAGTGTTGAAAACCCTCAATTTAAAAGGAGGAATAGTGGAATTAAGGCCAATGAGGAAAAAGTACTTAAGAGAGTGTTATTTGGGAGTAATCTGAGCAGAGGAAAGGATGTAGATGTGAGGAGGGTAAAAAGATGTGTTCAGGAAATGAGAAAATGGGTAATTAGGCATAACATGAAGCAAAGATGAAAGAAGGGAAGTGCCTGGTGAGGGGTGCAGGTGCTTATTGATGGTGATGTTAAAAAAATTGAGGTACCATGTAAACACTTCTAGTTCCTGGTTTCAATTTCTACTCTGTCCTGTGATTTCACACTTGATTTAATCTCAGTCCACGGTGTTTTCTGTTCATGTGTTTGAGCTCATCTAGATGTCCAGATTCCATTACAACTGTTCTATGTTACACTGATTTTCAACAAGACATAGTCTGAGTAATCTTTCTAGGTCAGGTTAGTGACAAAGTTTATTTCCTTCCAATCAAAAATGCCCATCAGTAACAGTGGTGTTCTCAGCATCTTAAAACACAAACAATATTACTGCACCAGTGCACTGATGCTTGGTAGTTCTCAGAGTGGTAGAGGCAGATGCACTCATTATTTCCACGGTAATTATCGGTAATAGGTGGGAAATCTCTTTTCACCAAGAGAAGGAGGGTTTCTCGTGTGATGAAAGTGCTGTCAAACTGCATCCATTTTTTCTTATTACTTAGACCTACATCATGGCCCTGAGGGCAATGCCAGGCTGGACCATCCTTGCCAAGCTCCCCCGGGGCTTCCCCTCCAGCCCACAGACCAGGACCTGATTTCTGCCCCCAGTGCCATCAGCCCCTACCTCAGCAATGTCACAGCAGGGCCAGTCTCCAGCTCCCCTCAGCCCTGCCATGCCCAGTCATAAACCCCACTGAGCTAGGACAACATACAGGTCGATGGCCTGGCCTGGCCTTGGCCCATCACCATCCCCATGTCCCTGCCCAGCCATCTCAGAGTTTTCTCTGACCCTGGTACCTCTCACTGGATCTGATCCTGGATGTCCCAGCCTGGCCTCAGCCTGCTCCCACCCCCAGGGAGGTGCCAGATGCCTGGGGATGGGACAGGAGATAGGCCCTGGCTGCCAGGCCCTGTCCCAGTGGCCACCATATTGCGACCCTGATTGCCCTGGTCTTGGGGATCACCCTAGCACCCTGTCCCTGTTCTGCTCTTGCTTCAAACTTCTGTCATGCCCACTGACCTATAGAAAAAGGGTTTTGATCATCTCCGTCTACAACTTTAAAGCCAGAAATGCCAAAAGTCATGCAACCTGTATTATTCAATGATATCCAAAGGAGTAGAGTGGATCATTGAACAATATATGAATTTAGGTGTAAAGGTTCTCAGAAAGGATTGTGCTATTGGACACCATCGGGCAAAATACAAGACCACAACAGGGGTCAGACAGCTATTACTTTATTAGTAATATACTCACACTCCAAAGAGTATGGCAAGTTCCCTTCCATGGAGGGACAAGGGAAGCTGACTGTCAGGACAGGATTCCAACTGGTACTCAGCTCAGGGACATCCCTGCTTTAACTTATATACTCTTTCATTTTTGACAGTAGATAATATATTACCATGCCCATGTGGTTACACATCAAACAATGCAAAGTTGCAATCAGAAGCTTGAGTCACAGTGACCTAATGATTATCAGCAGGGGCAGGATGTTCACTTCGTGAACTGGGGCTAGGTCAGGAACACACAGCCATGTCATGTCCTTGACTCCTTGCCAAACTTCCAAGTCCCCCCCTTCCTATGAATAATACTGATATCTATGGTATATTAAAGTGGCAGAATGCCCTTTGCTGTCCACACATTTCAACTGTTATGCATGTCTCCATTTTTCACTCTGGCATTTCACTGATTTGATTTGACAGAGAACCCATTCTATTTATAGTCATAGATGGACCTTTTCCTTTATCCTGAAAATTGTGTTCTTCAGTCAACAACTTCATACACAAAGCTGCGTCCCCCACCTCCACAGGTACATATTCGGACAGACACCATCATTTATAAAATTCCACCTAATTTTCTGTTGTATTTCTGACCATTCTGATCCATCCCTGATAACCAGACTAAAATATCTCCTTCTTAAGAAGTTTCTAGTAAACTTAAGGGCATAATGAAGAGCATATCTATTCTATAAAGAAAGTCTGGAAAGAGCTAAATTCCAGATGCCAATGAGCTGGAGCTTCTTAAAACTGCCAAGATCAGGAATAATTGGTCATTTATGTCCTTCCAAATTACTATGCACATTCTTCTCTAATAACTCTGTAACAGTTCTGTTTTCATGTACCACTTTCGTGAAATCAGGATGACTGAGGGTTATTCATCAATTGCATCCTCTTCTCCATCTTCACACCTTGGAGGATAGTTATAGGCACTTCATCTTGAAGCAAAGGCCTCCAGTTGAGTCAGTGACTTGTGAAATCGTACATGTGGAATACATTTCCAGTTGTCATGTAACATATTATGGCATATGTTCATATATTCCTCTGTCTTCTTTTCTCTTTCATGTTTTCTTCATCTTCGTTTCTGTTGGGCACTGATATTTGCTGTTACTGATTGTGTCACATGCCTTAGGCTGCCAAATACTTTAAGAGGCATATCCACCATTCAGCTTCCTAATTCTGTTCCTCTGATGAGTTTTTACACGTCTAACCCACAAATAGTTCATACAATGTCCCATCTATTTATCAATCTCTTAACATGGATCCCTATTTGAAATAAGTTTTCCATCTCCTGACTTTCACCATCTTCTGGCTCAAGGACATATCCAAAACTACATTCCCTGAACACAATAATCTGACCTTCAAACCAACCAGCCTTGATCACTTGCAGATCTGTGTGCTGGGATTACGGGCTTGGCAGCATTCCCAGAATTTTGTCCTCAAGCATGTTGCGGCACATGTAATGTACCATCTTCTACTCAGTGTTGAAGTTCTATTACTGAACCAAATTTTTCTTGGCCTGAAATTATGCATTCATGCTTCAAAACTTTCTACGTTCTTCCACATAGGCTATTCTTTTGCAGTGGTTGGATATTCGTGTTTTGCTAAGGGTGTAGCATCATAACCTGAAGAGAATCAAAACAATTTAAACCCATACCAGTAATATGCCATAATAGATACTAGGAACAAGTGTTGCATGCACATATTATTTTAACATTGATATATAAGGTGAATTGTCAGGGATACTAGAACAAGAAAGTGTGTAGGATCTAGTCATTAACCCTAGAAGAGAACTGTATTGGAAAATGCCAGGACTGCTAAGACTAGACATCCAGATAACACTATCAAGATACTATGTCTTAAATTATGTTAAACTACATCATAGAAAACACAATGTATGCTATTAAGAAATTAAGTTTTGCACAGTCTCAGGGGTGGGATTTTCCAGAACCGACTTTGTCCAGGCTTGTCTTGTCCAGTCTGGGTCCTTGCCTGGGGTTGTTAAACTGCAACATCTGTCATCTAATGATCAGATCACCTATAATAAATACCTAACTTGTATTAACATTAGTTAGTTTTGTGCAAGTGTGTCCTATAGTCACTTTAATGGATTTCTTTAATAGCTGTTTGTGAAAATAGGTCATTATTTGTTGCAGAGGGAACTGTCTGTTGAGATGGGGAAGATGCTAAAACTTATCTGAATTAATATTTAGCTACATATATGGTAAAATAAGCTGTTTACCAAGGAATATGGATAAGAACATTATGAAAAGCAGATGTAAAAGGAAGATATCTCTCACACTGACAAGGCCAACAGATAAGGGAAGGATAAACAAATTACTGGCAGGAAACAAGGCAAAAAACTCCTACCTTAAGAACTGTCCAACAGAAGGTCAAAGTCCAGGAAGGTAAAAAGTTTAACCTCCTCTTCCTTGTTGCCTTCATCGTGAAAGACCCCAGCCAGCAACCACCAGGCTACACTGCGTAGGCACAACCAGGAGGAGCTAAGGGTGGGGAGTATGGAAATGAGTACTAGGAAGAGATCTGCCTTTTAGTGGAACAGAACAAATATGTATTAGAGCTCATGTAATATGTAACAGTATTAATGTATAAAACTGTGAAAAACTACCTGGAAGGCACGCACTTTTGAGGTAAGCTATTCCCAGTGCACTCGGTGCACCGCAATAAGGTATATCTACTTTGCAACCCTATGGTTGTGAGTCACTTCCACACATCATGTATGACCTTGGAATGTAGAGGAGTACAGGCACAGGATGATGGTTGAGGCCTTGAAAGCACAGGCACCAGATACCAGAGGCCCCAGGGCTATAAGCAAATCCCCTGTGGTCAATTACTGGTCATTGAAGGAATGTAACCTTGGGAGCTGGGTAAATCCGGTTTAAGGATAACAAGGAGAACAAAGAGCAAGTATCCAGGTATTATGGAAGAAACCCCCACCATCAACACCAAATTGCTCCCATTGCAGACTAAGGGGCAGCGGTGACTCATCACTGTCAATCTTAAGAGCCAGAGGGGTAGCAGAAGGGTGAAACCAACCAAAGGGAACAGGCACAGATACTGGGAAGTTTCTGTACAACTGTTTTAACTGCTAATTATTTTAGCTTTTTCTGTATTATTCATATGAATTCGACAATTTGTGTGACCATTGTCACTGGTCTACTAATGATGCTTTGCTGCTAAGACTCTAGTTATACAAAAAGTATATTGTTTATGCTTGCAAAGTGTTGTTTATTATTATTATTATTATTATTATTATTATTATTATTATTATTATTATTATTATTATTATTTCACAAAAATGTTACATATTGAAGCACAGTACTGAAGAAAAATAAAAGCTGTGAGCCAAACACTGCATAAGGGACATGTAACTTGACCCTGCACAGAATCTACTGAGGTTACCTGTAAGTGACTGGAACTGGTGATTTCAGAACTGGAACCACCTTCAGATTGTGTGCATGTACAAGCTCAACATGGCCACTATGATTAAGAATAACAAAAAAATGTTTTTATAAACATATTAATGGCAAGAGGAGGGCCAAGGAGAATCTCCATCCTTTACTGGACACAGAGGAGAACATGACTACTGAGGATAAAGAAAAGGCTGAGTTTCTTAATGCCTTCTTTACATCTGTCTTTACTAGCCAGACTACTTATCATCAGTGTACTCAGCCTCCCAACCTGTAAGTCTGGGATGGGGAACAGAATAAACCCCCCACAGTTCAGGTGGAAACAGTCAGAGACCTGCTGCTCCACCTGAACTGTCACAAGTCCATGGGGCCAGATGGGATCCACCCAAGGGTGCTGAGGGAGTTGGCGGCTGTGATTGCTGGGCCACTTTCCATCATATATCAGCATTCATGGTCATCCAGAGAGGTCCTTGAAAAGCTTGAAAAGTTGCCAATTTTAATCATCTTACAGCCACTCCTTTCCATGGATCCCATTCCCACTCTGTTTTCTTCTTTCTACTGTGCTAGCTATATCTATAATATTTAAAAGTATGCAGGCACAAATTGCTGATGCAGTTATTCCAACACTATTCATAGCAATCCCTTACATGGGCTGGCATTTCAATCAAAGATTTTAGTGTTTTTTGTTGTTGTTGTTGTTTTGTGTGTGTGTGTGTTGTTGCTTGTTTTCTATTTGATGTTCATGATGTTAAAATTTTATTTCCAATTGTCTTTTATCAGTCTGCATTAACTGGACTTTATTTCAAATTATTTTGAATTTGCTCTGCTCAATCAATTCTAACACCCTCTTGGTTCCTGTTCAAGTTTCTTTCTTTGTATCTCCTGTGGCTCTAGCTATACTAAAGACTTACTTTATAACATTATCACCAACACCAGTCTGTGCCTTAGCATAACCTGGTGATAGCTGTCCTCACCAGTCTCCCATGTGCCCCACAAACTTCTGAAGCTTTTTCTACTGACAGTTGCAGTTGTAGAAAATCTTTTGCCGACTTATAGGATTTCTACATATATAATTTGTAATGGGCAGCCTGGAAGAAGATTCTAAGAGGAGCAAGTGATCCGTATATCTAACCCAGGTTTTTGCCTCTGTGTCATCAATATTACATGGCTGTTGCTTAACCCTAACAGATGTGCAAGTAATCAATGTGTATTTAATCATTTTGTAATTAATCAAGGTGTGTTTAAGCCCCTATGTAGCATATTGTTCTGTCCACTTGAAATATTGTGCAACTTTGATCACAAACTGCAGATTATTGATCCCAGGAACTGTAAGTTTATTAATGTGGTAAAGGATATTAAGGTGCCTTACCAAAGGACTCTTCAAAGCTAAGTCTACATACCAGATCTGATTGCTATCGGGGCTGATGAATCTATATTGTGAGCAAACTTCTGTAAGAATGCAGCTAAGCACAGAGCTGACTGGATCTACACAGGCCCATCCAATGTTGTATCATCTCAGGGTCCCCAGCAGCAGAAAGGAATAAGATTTTATAACTTATTATCACATTTTCTGGGATATTAATAAAATAACTATTTTTCTCGAGTGTATGTACACTTTTTGTATTGGAATCCAAAAAGAACTGACACCTCTTGCTGCAAAACAGTTGTTACCCCTATTAAAAGAAACTACTGTGGACGTGAAAACATTGACATGAAACCAGCAAGAGTTGACCCAAAATTAGTGTCACTTCCTCACCAGAGAACACTAATCAAGAAAGAGTTAGTGTATATGTGGTAATGCACCTATGTAAAAGGAGGTAATTCTTTAAGAAGAAAAAGAAAGAGAATAATTGTTTATCAATAAACTACCTCTCCTTCCAAAGAGACCAGTGCCTAGCCAATAATTCATTTGATTTCAGTGAAACTGATGTCAGGTATCAGCCCCCTTATAGCTTATGTTTTGCTATACTGAGACACAATAACATCACTCATTTATCAAAAATTCATTGCGCCTTATCTCTTGTATTGCCATAGTGTTGATTTTCTAAGGTCAACTTTACCAAACTTGCAGACTTGTCACCTGCTTCTGATACACTTGCAATTAACTTACCTTCTGTGCAATACTGATTAAATGTACATGGAGGTCTATAACCCCCTCTTATATTCCCTGGTTTAGTACATGAAAAGTGTAACTCTTTTGTTGTATTTCCCATCTGGCTATTCTATATCTGAGAGTAAACACATTGTTTTTTTTTTCCTGTGAGAGGGCCCTTTTGGATGGCATAAAGCAGATGCTATTTTGCTTCTTTTTACATATTTTACATAAAGATGTCAATCAAAACTTTTCTCAATGTCAGTTAAAGCTGCATTTTCTGATCTCACTTTATCAGTCCAATGACTAGGCCCCTGCTCTTGAATTGTCGTCCTGAAAATGGATGGATACTCCTCCACAAAACTTACATTCTCTTTTCTTTATTTCTAAATGTATTTATTATCAGCAAACACCTACCCAGCAGCTGGTCCGCTCAGAACTACGGTCTACCCTTTGATGTACTGTAATATTGATAACAATCAAGATAACAGTCACCACCTGACTGTATGTCACCAACACATTCTTTTAACTCTACTGTTAGTTACAATCATAGAATCATACCATATCCCGAGTTTGAAGTTCCCGTGTGTATCCCCACACAGAACATCAAGTCCAGCTCCTGGCACCACATAAGTCTACCCAAAAATTCAGACCATACGACTAAGAGCACATATGCATCTTAAACTCCTGTTATAAATTCCGAGTCAATTTAGCTTTATAAGATTTATTTATGGGGTCAATAAAAGGGTGCGTGGGGAGTCTGGGCTCCTCCAACACACACACACACACACACACACACACACACGTTACATCAGGCGGCTGTTTTTTATGCTCCTAGGCTAATACATATTCATTACTACCTCTAGAAAAGGCAGGGTTATTATAATTAGTTCCCAGAATCCAAACCCTCCCACTGGCGCACGCATATCAGTCTCTGGTAGTCTGTCTGGGGGTCTCTCGTGCTGAAGGATTGTAGTCTTCTTCCCAGGCTTTGTCCTTGCCTTTCTCCTTTGTCCATCTTAGCCAGGTATCAGAGACTTGCACAGCGTTCCATGCAAACTTTGTCTTTTAGTCGTCCTTCAGCTTCCCCTTTCTCCTTAATCTCTTGGCCAGATATCAGAGACTTGCATAGTGTCCCATGCAATAGTCACAACAGCTAGCAGTTATTCTGAACCTCCCCAGATATCAAAGACCCAACGTTTACCCTTCAAGCCCTCTATTGACACGAATTGCTGGAACATTCCTTACAATCCCTCATCTTTTTAATATTTTTTATTTGTGTCTCTTCTTCAACTTTTGCCAGTAACAACTGGATTTCATCAGTTGGTTCTTGGGGGGTCAATTTCTTAAGCATCATTATTGACACATCACCTTTCTTCTCTACTGAAGTCATCACAAATTGGGTACTATTTATTATTCGGCGTATCAATAATGTAAAGCAAGGAATCATACCAGATATAAACAATAACATCATTACACCATATAAAAATAAAAATAACATCCTTTTAATCCATGGTCTACTGGGCAGCCATGAAAACAAATCACAATCCATACCCTTCCAAGTTTGTACTGGGACGTGGGCTAATTTCCCAATTTCCTTTGTTACCTGTTTAACCACTTTTCCATTATCATCAATTCGTAAACAACAGTTAGAGTCGTTCAATTTTCCACACACTCCCCCCTCTTCTGCTAGTAAGTAGTCTAAAACCATTCTATGTTGAAGGATAACGTTCCTTATCTGTGTGTATTGATCAGCCAAAAGATCCAAAGCTGTCACTGTTTGATTGGTTACAATTTCAAGGACAGCTTGCAACCTAATTATAAAATTCAAATTATCAATAGGTTCTTGGGCCCCTGATACTACCTCATTCAGGTTCCAGGTAGCTAGTCCATAATGCTGTATGATTCTTTCAGGAGGCCATTCATTCTCTTCCCATTTTTGGGCACTACCCCCGGCTAAGGAAGCATCAGTAGATTGTTTTACTCTATTCAGATCATCATATAATCTTATTCCTAAATGATTTCCTTGTATTCGTGACAATAAAAAGAACAAGGGTCTTATGTACCCAACATAGCATATTCACGACCAGTTTTCAGGTAGCCTCTTGTAGGCATGTTTGCCACACACCCAATAATGTCCCTTTAGGGCCCACATCTAGTTTGGAAAAGGACCATCTTTTCTTCTTAAAGGACCTTCTTATTCTTCTGACCAGACAGATAAGAAAGGATTTCTTATCCTTTGTGCCATCCAGTCTTGAGGGTGTGGGCAACACCTTCAATCAAGGAGTTGGGCCCGCTTTCAGGATTGATTTGAGCTTGTGTTACCGTTCAACATTTTGAGGTGATCCAGCTCCTGGAAAACTAATCACAATTTTATATAGGTTTAAAAAAAGGTTCTTATGTTATTTTCTTAGGACAACCTAACCTTAGTGTGGGAGAAGTCCAGTCGAGGCCTTCTCACTCGGCGGTCAATACCCTCAGTTGCCTCCCTCAGTAGACCATACACACCACAGTGGAGGGTCCTGCCCTGGTCTTGCCTTCTCCCTTTCCTCCCTTCAGGTTTGTCTTCTTTATCTGGTGCCCTTAAATCATGCAGAGCCTCATTGCCAGAATATTAGTTCTTCTTTAGCTTTACTTTCAGTTCCTCAGGAGTGGACTCAACCCTCCAAGCTTCGGTAGTCCCTTTACTCTGGATGCATGGGTCCAACCCCTTTCTGCTGTTCTCACAGCTGTTTCAGTAGTAAGTAAAACAAGGTACAGTCCCTCCCATCATGGGTTCAATGATTCTTCCCTCCAGGTTTTTAATTTATACCTTGTCTCCTGGTTGTATCTTATAAATAGCAAACCCCAGTGGGGCATTTTGTGCTAAAATTCCTTTTTCCCTCAATTGTTGTAGTTTTTTCCCTGTCATGATCACATATTTCTGGCTTTCATAATTCTCTATCAAAGAATAATCCAATGGCATTCCTTGGGAATACAGCATTTCATATAGCATCTCATGAGGTGAGATACCTGTTTCACTATGGGGCATAATCCTAATATTCAATAATGCCAATGGCAAATATTTTATCCAAGACAGTTGGGTTTTAATCATTAATTTAGCCAATTCTTGTTTAATCATTTAATTCATTCTCTCAACTCATCCTGAACTTTGTGGATACCATGGAGTATGGTATTCCCATTTAATGCCTAGGGATGTGGTTAAGGTCAGAGGTTCTTAGGTCAGAGGTTGGACTCAATGATCTTGAGGTCTCTTCCAACCTAGACAATTCTGTGATTCTGTGATTCTGTAAGTCCCATAACACCTTAAATGTGAAATGTGTCCCCTGGTGAGAGTACCAGTGGACCTGCTAATGTAGAAGTCCCAGGTCCCTGTCATTCCTGCCTGCAGCCTAAGACAATTTCTTTCTGATATCAGGGGACATTTGCCCTAGAAAGAGGCTAGCCAATTGCCTGTTTGTATTCTGAAGCCAGGTCCAAATTCTTTTTGTTTGTTTGTTTTGTTTTGTTTTCCATTGCATTTCAAAGTTGGTCCAAAAATTCCATAGTGGTTTCTTTTGGACCTTGTTGGAACAGATTCTCAATTCCCAGTTTAACCAGATTTTGGTATTTACTGTTCATTATTTCCAGGGTGATTAGGGTCTCAGTGGGAGGTCAGTCAGAGGAATGCAATGGTCAACAGTTCCCTGAGCGGTCCCATTGGCAATCTGAGCTCACTCATAAACTCAGGTTGTTAGCTGCTTTTCTGTTTCCATGACACCTCTCTCAGACCCATCATGGTCCCTCTGCCTCAGAGGGCTCACACCCGTGATTTTGAGATCTCAGCCTCCAGTTGAAGTGGAACTATTGACATTCCTACATCCTCTTTCCCTGCTCATTCAACTTCAAACAGCTCTGTCAGATACTACATGCCACACCTTTAACACCTTCAACAACCCCTTTAACGCTTCCTTTATCTTTCTCCAACCTGTACTTTTCTCATGCCAATACCAAAGGCTCAGTCAGGGGCCAACTTAATTCCATCCCTTTTCCCTCTAAGATGCTGAAACAACATATCAGTATATAACATTTCATCCTATTTTTCTTCTCCCCTCAAAACCAACATTAATTGCAAGACAGTGTTGTAGTCGATTGATCCATAAAGTGGCCATTTAGTTTATATAGTGGCCACCATTGATTGCAATACTTAATTAAATTAAATATATGAGTGACGGGTGATTCCATTAGTCCCAACCAGGCTGCAGCATACTTTCTCTCTTCCAGATCCATGGGTATTCTACTATTAACATAAATGTTCAAAGCCTGACAAACCCAGTTTTCCTTGGACCCAAATAGTGGCCAAAATACATGGGATCTTAAGGGTTCTTTTGATCATTTAACCATAAAAAATTGAATCATTCTCACTTTATCCTTATGTTTAGTGCTTCTAAAACTATCCCAATATCTTAACATTAGCCCTAAAGGATTATCTGGTGGAGTATCTGGTAAGTTTTCCCCCTTTTTAAACCAGAGGCCCCTCCTCAAACCTTCCAAGTCTAAGGATCTGCTTTGTCCCCAACCCATTCCTGGAACTTCTTTTTATACAAAAAAAGTTCCAAAACTCCTGGCTGTGCCTGTATCTAAAGGTGTCTTGTGAGTGTTATCCCACCCACAAATACCTAGAATGATCACTTTGCTCCTTTACCAGCTGAGTCCCTCACGGGATATCGGAACTGCTGTTAGAATGCTCCCCACTCGCTTTGGAACTGAGTCCCATCACACCCTTACACGCAGTCACACAACTGAATCCACCCAACCAAATGGCATGCTCACGAAACAATAAATCTTCGTTTGGATCTTCACGCGCAGAATTACGGGTTTAAACCAGAGGAGGGGAGACCCCTTGTTCTTTACTTGCCTCTTATGCTGCTGGGCTCCATAATGCTTCCAGCAAAGGGCCACAATGAAACAAGGGCGGGGGCGCCTCCGTTAGCCATTCACAGCCTCCGGACCCAAGAGGATCACATCAGGGTCACCAAATTGTCACTCCTACTATTCAGTGGAATTCTTAAACTGTACCATTTAGTGGAAAAGCATAGGATAAATGTGACCAAATGTAAGAAAGAGTGGTTTTGTTTTTGTTTTGTTTTCTTTTTTTGCAAAGAGTTGTTATATTGTTTAGGAGGAAGGAATGTGATGTTGAGATATTCTTGCAGTAATAACAAAGCTTACCAGACAACGTTGTAAAATGCAGAGAACAACCAGACTCCTTAGTGCAATTAGGTGAAAATCACAGTGTCAAGTCAAGTCAGATAAGGGAAGAAATATTACCACATCACAGAGATGGAAAAAAAAAAAAAAGTGTCATGAGAAACTTGAAAAGTAACAGGATGGCAACTGAAAGCCATGTATTATTTGTGAAGCCAGGTTGTGAACCTGCACTACCCAGTCAATGGGAAAAAAAGGGAGGGTCCCAGTCATTGAGAGATAAAGTATATAAACTGTACTATGTAACTAGTAGGCGCGCTCCTGCTTGTGGGACTCCTCGCCTGAGCCTATGTTATTGGCTACAGAATGTTTCTCACAGTTTCACATCCTTTTTGTACTTTGGTGCCCAGAACTGCACACAGCACTTGAGGTGAGGCTGCACCAGCGCAGAGCAGGACAATTCCTTCCCTCTACCAACTAGCGATGCCGTGCTTGATGCACCCCAGGATACGGTTGGCCTTCCTGGCTGCCAGGGCACACTGCTGGCTCATATTCATCTTGCTATCAACCTCAACCCCCAGATCCTTCTCTGTGGGGCTTCTCTCCATTGTCTTGTTGCCCAGTCTGTACATATAGCCAGGGTTGCCCCGTCCCAGGTGCAGGACCTGCCACTTGCTCTTGTTAAGCTTCATGCGTTTGGTGATCGCCCAGCTCTCCAATCTGTCCAGATCTCTCTGCAAGGCCTTTCCACCCTCAACAGAATCAACAACTCCTGCCAGTTTTGTATCATCAGCAGATTTACTCAAAACACCTTCTAGTCCTACATCCAAATCGTTTATGAAAACATTGAAAATAACTGGCCCTAAAATGGAGCCCTGGGGAACCCCACTGGTGACTGGCTGCCAGCCTGATGTAGCTCCATTTACCTCAACCCTTTGAGCCCTACCCATCAGCCAATTGTTTAACCATCGTGTGATGTTTTTATCTAGCTGTATGTTGGGCAAGATGTCCAGTAGGATCCTATGGGAAAATGTATCAAAAGCTTTACTGAAATACAAAAAATTACATCAGCTGTTTTCCCTTTATTAGCTAGATGGGTGATTTTATCATAAAAGAAATTTAAATTTGTTAAACAGGACCTAGCCCTTATGAACACATGTTGGCTGGGACCAATGCATTGTCCCCCAGGCTGTAATTGTTATTCTTTAATTAAAAAACCCCGCATCAATAGATCCAAATATTGTATAGAAAGCTTTTATTTTTTTGTTGTTGTTTTATTTTGTTTCATTTTGTTTTGTTTTAAATTTATCTAAATTAGCAGCCACTGTATGTGGTTCATACCTTTTTTTTTTTTCTAATGAATGGATCAAACCCATTTTCTTTTACAGTGAAGAGACAAAATCCCATACTAGGTTGTCTACAAACAAATATGGCAGCTGGTAAAACAAAGCCCACTACAAAACGTATTAAACTTTGCGAATAAGCTGACTTTTCTTACTCACATTTTCACACAGAGAAGGAGCTGGACACATGTGCCCAAGTAGTTTGGCCAGGGCAGTTTCTTCATGACGTGTAGGACAAGATGTTCCAGGTAGTGAATCCTCCCTGCATGTCCCTCTTCGCTACTGAGAACTGACTTTGGATAGGCTTTTTATAGCCTTCTGGAATTACGTTACTGTGATCTTTTGTCTTGGCATCTTGTTTTACCCCACAAGAGTCTTAGGCAACTTTGCTGAGTCAACACTGTCCTTTTGTTTTCCTTATCTAGTTATCCTCTGGCTCCAGGCCAGTTCATTTGTCCTGCCTCACCTTATCTTATGGCTTCATTTTCTTGCTATCTGGTTATTAAATGAAACCATACATAGGCTGCACTGGAATAAAAGTGAACTGCTGACTGTGGGTAACAATACGTGCTTTTATTTTAGTCCTTGTTCTACAGTTTCTTCTCACATGTCCATGCACATTTACACTCCCACTTCATTCAGGAAAACTTGAATATTTATATTGCAAATATCTGCGTAAGTCCCAGACACAAGTTTGGAGTTCATTTGCAAGTAAGAATTTCAAGTTGCTTTTTTATTCCTGTATATTATCAAGCACTAATACAACATAAATAAGGCAAATTGCTAGTTTTATTTGTCTATTTCATTGTCAAGTTCTAGCTGGACCCACTGTAGGAAAACCCTTCCCGTCTCTGGCTTCTGATGTGTCTTGTCTGTTATGCTTTCTAATTATTCTGAACCTTTGTAGTAAGAATGCTTTCATTTTATAGGTGAATATATTGAAATAAAGCTTGCTAAGGTTTTTTGCATATTTAGGTATTCATGGACCTAACAACCTAGGGTCATTTAGTGTCACAAGGGCTAACCAAATGCCCTAAAAGTAGGCCTACAGTTTTCTTGGCTTACCTCTCTGAAGAATTTGTGCCATGCAGAAAAATGCAGAAAACTTAACAGCTTACAGAACTTTTTTGGGGACAAAACACAAATGAAAACAAGCCAGTGATTCTCAGTCACAACAGTCACAGTCACCATTTGTTTAGCTCCTCTCTTGGCTGTCCATAATGTTATAAATCGCTTAGTCCTAAAATAGGACTATAATCAAAGTTTACAATTTATTAAAAGAATAGAGGTAAGCAAACAGCGCTGGGTGCGTCGGGAGTCTCTGCTCCACCTAGACGCACACCAGTTACATCAAGCAGCTGATTTTTATGCTCCTAGGCTGATACATATTCATTACTACTTCTAAAAAAAACAGGTTATTATAATTAGCTTCCGGGATCCAAACCCTCCTACTGGAGCATGCGCATCAGTCTCCGGTGGTCCCCCTGGGGGTCTCTGGGGGTCTTTCATGCTGAAGGCTCGTAGTCTTCCTCTCAGGTCTTTTTCTTGTCCTTCCCCTTTGTACTCCTTGGCAGCATGTCAAAAGCTTACACAGCATTCCCTGCAAGTTTTGTCTTCTAGCCGTCTTTCAACTTCTTTCTTCTCCTTAATCTCCTGGCCACCTGACCAGATATCAGGGCCTTGCATAGTGTCCCATTCGGAAGTCATAACAGTTACTAGTTGTTAGCAGTTGTTCTGAAACCCCCAGACATCAGAGACTTCAAAGAAAGAACATACAAATACAAATAGCTCTCGTATTGACACTTCACGACTTTTTAAAACATTCCTCACAGGCCATTCACAGGGACACTCCGGTCACATCTATAGCAGTGCTAAATCAACCACAAAGGAGGCAAAAAGGCTGTAACTGTTAGGAATAAGAGTTCGGAATAACAAAAGCAAATAGGCTCCTGGATTTGAGGAATATTTCTGAAGATTTGATACATTGACTATAATGAGGGGGAGACTGGGACACTGGGAGGAAAGGGAAGAAACCACATCTGTAGAAGAATTAAATTGCCAGTGCAGGACCCAGAGACAGAACTGCTCTCTATTGACACAAATTGTTAAAACATTCCTTTGCAAGGTACAAGAACTATGTACATTAACCATTCTGTTTTTCTTAGACTTGTGGTTATACAAGGGTATGTAAGACAGAAGGTCACATTCATCATACCATGCGGCCCTAGCACTGTTCAATACTGACACGAATCAGATGAACATATCTCACAATAATTTTCACACAGAGTCCCAGTCTGATAGAAATACTTCATCCCAAGCTAGGCTGGTAATGCATTGCCTGTGCAGGGCTAAATTCAGAGGTGACTTATGGATCTGCCCCTTTGCTGTGCAGAAACATTCTTTGCCATATTTGATTTTTACCTAAATGCTAAACAGGGTGCTGTCTTGCACATGTCATTTTGCAGCTTACTTTATCTGCAAGTTGGTCTGCTGAAAGAAATCTGAGACTTTCTGGGTACCTCAGCTTGGCCATTGATCTGAATAGGCTAAGCTTGGCTAAAACAGTTGTAAAGGCTCAGACTTTGAGACCTGTGATGACTGGAATGTTGTAATTACAATTTTCCTTAGGGTTCCTGCAAATGTTTTGATTTGGTTTATCTGTATTCCCATCAATTTGGGAATAACCTACTACCTTGAAAATATATTTTATAACCTGTAATTTACAAGTCAATTGAATTAATTCTTCTGTGAAGTGTGACTGGATTGGATAACATTTGAAGTGCCTCTTCTGAAAATGATGTGTTTTGTCAGCTACAGAAGTGCATTAACCCCTATGCTAGCCTTTTCTAGAAGAAAGTTTCAATCAAGTTGCTTAATGGTATCTACAAAGACAAGGAAATAGTTATTTCCTTGCTATTGCTGGAGTTTGCAGGGACCCTGCATAACTGATACAAATGTCATGGCAATGACATTGGTTCTTCAGGTATTGAGGAAGAATCATAGTTTTGGCTCATTAAGGCCTGATTATTCAAGGCCAACAGATTAATCAAGCCTTGGCACTGCAGTACTTCTAATTTTTTGTCTCAGCACAGTTATTTAGTGCTTGTTTGGAGGATTTGGAGGGTTTGGGGGAGTATTGGATTAAAACCTGCCTGCAAGACAGAATGCTTTATGGCCAGTACAATTAGCTTCCTTCTTTTGCATGGGGAGTGCTGTTGCTTCTGAGAAACTCCTTCACTTCTGTGGGTTTTTAAAACAACCTATTATATGCAGATATATTATGTCATGTACCATGTCTATGATGATTTCTTTTATATTGTTTGACTAGTTTTAAAGTGTTTATCAAAGGCGAGCTTAACCACAAAACATCTACATTAGCCACATAACGTGAATGTATTATAACTGTTATAAACAATTTAGACATAGTTCTGGGTAAGTGGAGATGTGTGGGGAGAATATGGCACGGTGTTCTATGTCTCTTACTATGCAAAAGAGGTTTACAGAATAGATACCTTGCTCCATTGTCACATGAATATTTGCTAGTCGTGGTCTGAAAGGGACTTTCTGGACTCAAAAGTGACTCCTCCTCCTTCCAAACATGAAGTTAAATAAAATTATTCTGACACAGGAATTAACAGTACAGGAAGCAAGGTCACACAGTGAAGCCAGATTTTGCTTGTATCTCATGGGAACGTTTTCTTGAATAATTATCACTGAAAATATTTGGGGAGGCATTGCCAATAAGTCAGTATGGGAATAGCAGGACATTTTTCTCATGCTGCAAAAAGCATTTAGTTGGATTAGGTGCAAAGTTAAAAACAGCCTAACAATTTAAACATAGATTAACTATCCCACTATTCCATGCTGAGCAGTTTCTCAACCTATTCATCCACATAAATACTTTATACCCTGTTAACCAACATCCTGCATTCACAGAATACTTGTCACACATGTTAAAATATATACATATTACAGCACTCATAATCCTTTACAATCTCATTTAACTAGTAAGCAAAAATATCATCAGGTATACAGTTGCATTCTCTACAAGGAATGAAGAACCTATTCCGAAGATTCATTATGTGTCCTTGTAGGAAAATAAGCACACACAGAAGACAGATTTATTAACTTAATTTATCAGGGCTGAACTTTCTAAACATGAAAAAGCTGTACTATGTTTCTAGCGTAAAATCTTTGTATTGGTCCAGGTTCATGCCTTTAAGTAGCAACAGCAAGTTCAGCCATCTGTATCTGGTTTTGAAATAAAGACAGAACCATCAGTTTCTGTCAGCTGTTTGACTATCTGTCTTTTAAACTCTGCTGTATTGCTTTGTAATGGGTTAATATCTTTAAAGAGCACTAATGGAAAATTATTATATGGCTTTGGAACACCCTGCACAATGTCTGTCATCTGCTGTTGTTCTAAGGACAGAGTGATCCTCCTTGGAGATAAGTATTCTCCATGTTTAATTGCATATCTTTTTAATCAAATATTGCTTGCATCTAGGCTTCTTTTGATCAAAGGCAGAGTGTTCCTTTTGGAAGAAATCAAGGAATGTTGGCAGGAGAAGGTATCCTTAAGTTGTCCTTAGGTGACATGTGACCATATGTGGCTAAAAACAGTTAGGGTACAATCTCCTCAGTGTGTGAGTTGGCTTATTGCACACTGGATAAAAAGATCCAGTTTTTCAGACAGCAGCTTGGTTGGCCTTCCAGAGTTACTCTGGCCCAGGTTATCTGTTTTGAGTCGATCAGACATTTGCCTTGTCTTAAATGCTCTGGAGTGAATATAGATTCTCTTCTATATAGAATATAGAATATAGATATCTCTTCTCTTGGAAAGGGAAGAGATTGAAACCCTGCTATCCTCCATGGTAAATACAAGAGGCTTCATCAGTAGACAGTGAAACAGGTTCTATATCTAGAGGAAGGAGATGGTAAGTGTTTCTTTTTCTGGTTCTACCATAAAAAGCCATGAACATTGGTGGTTCTCAACAGCTTTTTCATCATTCCTCAAATGTTCCCTTCAGCTTGGATTGCCCAGATGACCTGCTTAAGTACCTCCATCCCATGAGAAAACAGGTAAGCAAGCACATCTCTGGACAGCGGTGTTAACCTACTCAAATGCCATTTCATAAGCTTAAGTAACAGTGTCTATGGCTATGCTTGTGCCTGGGTTTCCCCATGCCATGTGGTTAATCTTTTTCTTTAGAATGATACAGCCTTCATCACATCACGAGTAAATCCCATCTGCGTGTCTTCAAGTTTCAGCTTAAAACAGTTTCATGTGTTTACCCACCTCTAGAGCCATCATTGATCAGCCTTTTCCTTATCCCTTTTCCCCAGTTTTAAGACGAAACAATTCACACTGCTTCAGTGCAGCACAGAAGTACGGCAACAGGTCACAATGTACAAATTTTTTAAGAAAAAAATCACACATTTTAAATCAAAACTTGATGGATTTTCATCAGCAAAGCACATTCTTGTTTATCATTTCTGAAGGAAAATGCTACATGACCAGGCTGGAGGACATCTGGAAGAAGGTAGATGTAACAGCCAGGTATGAAAGTTTTTTAATGGGTTTAGAGTTGCTTGACATTACCATTCTGTTGTGGGACTTAAATAACAAAGCATGTCCAGGGGGTGGGGAAATAAAAGGAGCATTTGGATATGCCTGCCATTTGGAAACTATATTAAAAAAAGTCTGTCAACCAAGTTTACAGAAGAAGCTGAGAAGGGTTATTCACAAAAACAATCAAGCAAAAGCAACCACCATCACCTACAACACAGGAAACAGGGAGTGTCTTCTCAATGTTATCTCTTCTGACATAAGCACTTTTTTTTTTTATCATCCTAGTTAAACTAGTTTATTAGCACTTCCTTCAAGGCCTCCATTTCACAAATGGCTGGCAAATCCTGCTGGTTTTCTTCTGGGAATCTCTGGGAATTTGCTGTTTGCAGCCATCAACCACACCTTCCCCTGGATTTCCCAGAAATTGCACGGGATGCTGAAGTGACAAGAACCATGAGCCCATAGTGAATTTGGCAAAGAATGATCCCCACCCCACCTTCAGCTGGCCAGTGTCTCTTCACCACCCTGTAGCTGCCGGGCCAGCTGAGTGTTTCTGGCAGTGGCAAAGCCCTGTGCCACATCAGGGCCAGGAAGATCACCAGAAGAGAAGGATGAACAGAAATGCATCAGAAGCAAGGAAGGAATGGAAGCACAGCCTGCCGCTGTGTGCCAGGCCAGAGAGAAGTGCCAAATCCCCCCTCTGCAAATCCAATCCAGAAGCAAGCTGCTGAGGGGCACATGCTGGAGCAGGGCACACGATGCTGACAGAA